AGGGTTTACACTTCAAATGATCTCAGGTGGAAGCGACCCAAGTTATTTCTCCAGTCCCACAGAGCAGGAATTGTAAACATGTTGCCTGATGCCAAGAACTGAGAATTTTCACTGGCAAAGAGGGACCTACAGTAGGCACAGGGCAGCATCATTAGAGTAAATCAAAAGTGCGACAGTCTTTGCACAATAATTTTCCCAGGACTTCACAAAAGCAACAGAAGGGATCTTGCTCCACTAGCTGGATTACAAAGGGGAGCAATGTTTTCCAACAAGTTCATAGAGAATCAGGAAAAGAAAGAAAAAGCAGTGTTAAACATTGGAAAATGCACTTTAATCTAAAAGAGTGATAAGCACCTTTAATTACTGACTGCAAACAATCACCCTCTTGAAAGAATTTTTAATTGCTTACAGTTGCTGGCGATAGGAGAGTTTCCTCTATGATGGTGAAGGATTTATTCCTGTAGCCAGTAATTACAGCAACTTTGCACTCTTCCACAGAAACTGAAAACTTGGCAGTACAGGGCACAACATTAAGGCAATTAAACATTTACATAAATAAGCCAGAAGGAGGATCCATTTTCAAAAAGTATGAGAAACAGTGCATGTCTGCTAACTTCCAGAAAACGGGAAATGGCCAGCAACAGCCCAGCTTCCAAACTCCCAACTTTGCGGCTCCCTTCAAAGGATGCAAGAAGAAGTAAGATTTGTGACCAGTCTGAGTCTCTGGAATAATTTGAAACATGACACAGAATTTAGTTCTCAGCCCGAGGAGAAAATTCATGATGGAAAAAAACATACAGTGAGACGCTGAGTTCAGGCTACTGTAACTGAATCAACCAAAAATCCAACCCTTGGGATCTGAGGACTTGCTATCAGTGATGGAAGAAAATGAGACCTGCAGCGAGCCAAAAGTGAAAGTATTAAAAATGCTCTTTTAAACTACAACTCTAGTTATGTGAACTATTTTATAAATAATCCTAATTTGACTACCATTTTCTCTCACATGGAATATGGTTCCACACGATTCTTTATGTTCTCTGTGCAATTTCTAGTTATGGAAGGCTTTTCTTTTTTCAGATGTGCATACTGGAAAGGGCTTTTATTGCATCGTCACTTAAGGAAGTCTCATCCTGGTGAGCATACACAGAAAATGCAATTTTAACATCTTAGTCCACCACTGTTTGCTTTCTTTTGATTCAGTAGGAAACTGTTAACCCTTAAAAAAACATAACCAAGAATATGGTGAAATATTTATTATCATAATCTCATATTTCACATATTTGCAGGCTCAGAACTGAAATACTATCTGATGCAATGCTTCAGCTAAAGTGAATGTGGCAGAGGTTTTTGGTTTTTATTTGATTTTTATTTGGTATCTTTTCCCCTATTGACTTTTATGGATGATGCAAAATTGAAATTAGACAACAGAATAAAAGTGTGGATATTTTATTCCTTTTAATTTTGCCATTAATCTTTGGAAATTACTATAATAAACCATGACGTCTCATATTTTTGTTGTTTAGCAAAAAAACCATATGTACTATGTATGCATATGCCACATATTTAAATGAAAAGCCAATGACTACAGCAGGAAAATCTGGTTTCATAGAAGCCAACAAAGGCTTCCCACCCATGTTAGCAGAGCCTGAAATTTACCTTATAATTTGGGGCTCTGTCCAGCAGGATCTATTTTAGCATTTGCACCCATCCTTCTGCCTTATTAGCACTGCTGCCCAAATTGCCATGTTCCTGGCTGAAATTCATGGCTAGCCCCGGTCTCCCATTTTTTAAGTTCTGCTGTTAAGAGCTCTTGAGAAAATTGCTCCAACTGGATGGCATTAGAAGGAAATGAAAATCTTTTAAGTGGCTATTGTGCATGTTATTTGAATGCACTGGATGACATTTCAACACCAGGCAATGCCTCCTCTCCACCACAGTCATCAAGAGTGGTTTAGATTTTTTTCTTTCCCATATGGGCACTGAGGTTTCCAACAGCATTGATCCCTCTGCACATTTTTCTATACTTTGTACAAGGCTCTTTGAACATATTTCAGCAAACAGAAAAGCTTCAATGTGCAACAGTTTTTAGCAGCTTGAAGGACTGAGCCCTTGATGTGATTATTTGATCATATATGAAGTAACTCTCATGATCAATGAATGATGTCACAGCTATCACTTTGAAGTTAATAGTAAAATTTGCATTGGCTTAAATCTGAGCAGGATCAAGGCATGAAGCATGACTGACATTCTTTTAATTAATTTCCATATTTCTTTTTAAATTCTCATGCCTCACTCCATGCTTTTTCACGCAACAAGAGAAAAGAGTAAATGTTGGAAATTGATGTTTTCACCATCAGTGGGCTGTCGTGTGTAACAAATTGTTCTAGTATATTAGTTTATGTGGGCATTCTGTCCTTGATCAGCTCCCACATTTCCCACAGACAGCAGCAGAAGTTGCACATAAAGATGAAAAAAATACTTTGCAAATAGAAACATAATACTCCATCTGCAGACAATAGGCCTGATTGAAAGAAGTGCAGCAGCACCTTTAGCAAACTAATTCCTGTAGACTTGTGTGGAAAATACAGAGCCCATATTTCTTTGCTTCTTTGAATTTAAACTATAATTTATGCTAGCATTAAAAAATCTGGGATACATAAAGGCCATATTGGAAGCACTGTCTTTATCTCTCAAGCTAACAGGAAATGAGAGGCAGTAATAGGACTTTAACTGGTTTCTCACTTGCAATGAGTATCCAACACTCGTTGAAGAAAACTTCCTTTCAAAATCTTTTCGTTCCAAGTCTGCTGAACAGAGAATCAAAACGTGTGTGTGTGTGTGCGCGCATGTGTGAACAATGTCCATTTGTATTCTTAAGTGAACTTGTTTTATTTTGCCATTTACTAAATGCTGGCATAAAAATTCCTGAAGCAACGTGACTCTCACAACAAACACAACTGACAGACCCTTGCTGGAGAGCACATGCAAGCACAGACTGCAATTGTTCTGTGGTTATTTGAGAGGCAGTGGTCAGGGAAACAGGGGTCATTAATTTCCCTGCGTGTTTTAAACATTTCCAGAGATGTGCTAAAATGCATTAAAAGCACAACGGCCGACATCTAAGGCTGAAAACATTAGAAAAACTTTAGAAAGGGATTTCTGTGAAAAAGCGAGAAAGGATGCTTTGAGTTTGACCCTTGCATTAGGGAATTAAACACACTTTCAACCCTTTTCTTGTTGCTTTTCCTGAAGATCAGTTGCCCGACTTCTGGAGAAGTGCTTGGGGTGGAGGCAGAAGGAAACCTGCTCCGACCGTGTGACTGCGGGGTCTTGGAGCTGCTAAGGGCGTTCAGTGCCCGCTGAGGTGGTGAGATGCGAGGCCAGGCTGGTTCCTGAACTCGTCCATGGAAACCCCCCAACCCCAGGCTGGTTCCTGAGCACTCGGAATAGAAATGCCCCAACCCCAGGCTGGTTCCTGAGCGCTCGGACATGGAAACCCCCCAACCCCAGGCTGGTTCCCGAGCGCTCGGACATGGAAACCCCCCAACCTCAGACTGGTTCCCGAGCGCTCGGACATGGAAACCTCCCAGCCCCAGGCTGGTTCCTGAACGCTCGGACATGGAAACCCCCCAACCCCAGGCTGGTTCCTGAACGCTCGGACATGGAAACCCCACAGCCCCAGGCTGGTTCCTGAGCGCTCGGACATGGAAACCCCCCAACCCCAGGCTGGCTCCTGAACGCTCGGACATGGAAACCTCACCTCCCCAACCCCGTCCGCCCTGACCGCTCAGAGACCACCCCCGCCCGCCAGGGGGCGCCGCTCCCCACGCCGTCCCCTTCCGCCAGTGCCGCCCATCAATGGCGCCCGGGCTCGTGCTCGTCCCCGTCCCCGTCCCCGTCCCCGTCTCTGTCCCCTCGCGTGTCCCGCGGCGGCCATGGCACCCCGGCCCGCCCCCTCCCGTCCCGTGTGGCCGCCCCGGTGCCGTGCGTCCCGCGGCGGGGCGGGCGGAGCAGAGGGAAGCGGATGGATTTGGCGGAATCACGTGACGCGGTCCCTGCTGCGGGCGGGACGGTGGCCGGGAGGGTTTCCCGGGCAACCGCGCCGCCGGCGAGCGGGGCCGCCGTGGCTGAGCGGGGCCCGGCGCGGTGCAGGTACGGGCCCGGTGCCCGGGCAGCGCACGGCTCCGAGCCGCGGCCAATTCCCTCTCCCGCTGCTCCCCGGGGCGCCCGTCGGGCCTTGGAGCCGAGCCCTGCCCTGCGCCCCCGAGCCCCGCGCTGCCCTGCGCCAGCCGCGAGTGTGCTCCAGGGAAAGCCGGAGGAGGAAGAGGATGGGGTCACGGCTGGGATGATTAAAAGGTTACGCGAAATGTGTTAGGCTGTTTAAGCTTTCCTCCATCCCCGTGGTTTAGCCATACCTCCTCAAAACTTCCGCTTTTTGGGCTGTGTTGTAGCATGTATCCCAACAAGTGCCGCCTTTGTTTTGTGCACGAAGGCATTTGTGAGCCGCCAGCTCTGAAGATATGGCTGAAAAGTATATTTGCTAAGGTTAATGTTTGCCTATGATCTTCTGTTACCGAAATTGTAAATATGTTTGTTGTCCTTGAAGTTACATATTGTTAGTTTTTATAAAAGATGTAATTAGAAGGTAGGCAGAAGAAAGCCGTCATTTTAATGGGAAGTAAAGATAATGTCAGGAGAATCACTTGGTTTTTCTGGCAAGGCTAGAATTAAATATTCCCCACTTGCTAAAGTAGCTGGCGCAGTTAGTAAATTGCTAAAGCATCCTGCGTTTAACATCGAGTGTGCTTTGATGTGAAAGTATAAAAGGATACTGGATTATGTGTGCCCTGAGAGGTAACGTTCCTAATCTCCTTACCATGTTTTCAGATATTGTCCAAATGCTTACATAAGGGTATCGTGCTGAATTCAACGCCTGGCCAGTCTGCTATAAAACTTCTTTTTTTTAACTGCCAAAGCCAAAGTGTCGGGTGGTCTATGGATGGATAAGGAGTGAAAGCAGGAAACAGTTGTCACAACTCGCCTGTCAAAATCAATTTACTAGGTAGGTAACAGTCCTGTGTACTGAGTGGGCTCCATACTGGGAGAAGTTTTATTTAATGGTAAAAGCACTTTTGCAAATGTTTAGCCCTTTTATGTTTACATCACACTTCTCGGGCTGGAAGATGCTAGTGCAGTTTAATGCTGCCATACATATGCAGTTTTGAAGGCAGCCATATGTGTTGAGCAGTGTGATACACAAAAGCTTTACAGCCTTTTGGTTGCTGGTCATATTTTATACCTGAAAAGTTAATGCAGACTTAGGGGAAGGAGAGGGGGGGCAAGTGTCATCGGCTTTCTCTGTCAGGGCAGATCAAACCAAATGCCATTCCCTAACCTTAAAAAGATTTACATGTATTTATTGTTTACTAAATCCAAAGCACAGCAGAGATGATGAAACAAAACTAACAGTGCCAGATGTTCCCAGTGTTGGAGAAGAAACATAGAAAGGAATTAAAAACCCTTAAAATGAAAATATTACTGCAATAGATTCTCTTTTGATTATTAACAAAATGCTTGGTTGCTAAGAGAGCTGATTTTTGAAGAAAAATGTAAAGATGCTGAAGTGAATCATATTTTCTTTATCCCAAAGTTTAGATGCTGAAGCTGGTGTTTTGGAAATGAGTATTTTGCTTGTAAGGAATTTGGGTGATCTAGATACATTTGTGCTGATTGTCTCATTCAGTAAATAGTTTTATCAGGGATGGGAGAATGATGTTTGTCATCTCTCAAGTTTTGGATTGGGGTTTTTTTGCTAATAGCTCTATTCAAGCAAATTATTAGGTTACATCAATTTCAGAATGCATTTAATTAACTTCAATTTAAATTTTAGTTTTTAGACTCAGTTGTTTGGAAGGTAAAATCCAGCTGCAAATTATGGCTCATCGATTTTCAAAGGAAGAATTAGATGAGCAGTTTGAAGAGTTTCTGAAAGAGGTATGTTTGAGAGCAAGGTCACATCTCTATTCTCTATTAAAAAATGGGGAAAATTGAGTATGGAAGAATATGAAATGTAAGATTCAGCTCTCCTTTTATGACATAATTAACATAGCTGTCTTATCTGTGGGTCTTAATTGCTAAGCCAAATTCATACTATTTTGCTGTATTGAAATCAAGAGAAGAGTTTTGTAATTAAATAAATATTTTTGTCATTGCCTGGTTGTATCTTCAGAAAGAGCCCTTGGTTCTTGATATTTGTTTCAGTTTTATTGTTGGTGCTACTTAGTACCAGAAGCTTCAAATTGATGTATAATTGAAAATGAGGTTAAAAAAAATCTGCCTGTATACAAACACAAGCTACATTTTTAAAATTTCTGTATTTTTCTGTGCAGTGCTTACTTTCACTGAATTATATTTAAAAATTCTTGTATAAAATGAAGCATGTTGTAGTGATTAGAAAATTTGAATTTGATTCCTTTAATTCCTCATGGTGCTTCATGGTTTTGAGTAGTGGCAAAATCATGCAAGTCTGTGGGTTGTGACTTAAGCTAAGAATAATCAGACATGATTGAGATGCCCTGACTAGGTATGTTTTTTTCAATGCAAATAGACCTTTAATTTCAGAACTTGCCCTCTGGTCTGTCAGAACACAGTGTGGTAACCCTAAAACATAAATACAGCTACATAAGGCCTTTATTAGATATTAACTCTGTATATAAGCATAACTAGTGATGGCAGAGAATATTTGTGGAGTCTCTGTTATATGTAATGTATGCATGATTTTTTTTTAAGTAGAGGCTGTGTTACAATTTAATGACTTGTGAAAAGTAATTTAATTTAATGATGTAACTAACTTAGCACTCTTGAACTCACTGAAATTATTAATGTTAGTAAGATTAGAAAACTAGTCTTTGTATTTCTTTCAAAATTCTTTACTTACGGTTGTTACAGAGGGAGCTGCTCTGGGGAAGAGAAAGGAGTTTTATTCTTTTATTTGTTATGCACATCTGTGAAAACTCTGCATGTGATTGCTTCTAGTATTCCATTCCTCATTTAACACACTCTTCTTCCCCCTCAGCTACTGCCCACATTGAGGATGCTCATTAAAAAATTCATGTGACTATTGAATTATTCTAAGTGGCATTTGGAATGTCCCAGAGAATGTAACTTTAACAATTCATGTCTTAATTTTTTTTATAATTTCAATCCAAAACTGTTTTCAAACTGCTAATCCAGTTTTTAAAAATATGCACTGTGATTTTTGCTAGCTAGATACAGACCCAGATAACAATATTGTTCTCTACTCTCTGTTATTTTTACACAGGCATCTTCTGCTATGTCCTTCTCCTTGCTTTTGTTTTTTATAAAAAGTGTTTGGCCTTTTAATACTAGAAAGATGAGAAACTGATGTGGTCCATTTCTTGAAATCTGTCTGTAGGTGATGTTTGTGTTGAGAGTGTCGCAGCAGGTGGGGAATAATAAAATCTGTTTCTCAGTAGATTGGAGCAGACTTAATATTGCTGAAGCAAATCTTTCAAAGAGGAAATGGAGCAGGATTTTTCCCTTTTAAATAACTCTTAATGAATCTGTGTTTGGGGTGAGGCTGTGTATGTATGTTTGTGATTAAAACATAGGAAGTTAAAAGAAAGACTGTATATACAGCTGGATGATGCAGGTCTAATATGAGGATTAAACTAAGTCTTTTGGCATATACACTGAACTTTAAAAGCTATCAGTGGGTTTTCTAGACTATTATTATACAGAAGGAAACACAAGTGTGTAATAACAATGACTGCATGTAGGATAAATCCTTTAATTATTCCCTCTGCCTGGTCATGCTTATTCCCAGCCCCTTGCCAAGACACCCTGTTGTCATCCATAATTCTTCCCATAATCCTTCCTCCTCCACTGTCTGTGTTCCTGTCGTACATCCACTCCTCACCATCAGTATCTTGTTTTTGTGTGCTTCCTCCTATTGTCAAATGGATTTCCCTTGAGCATCATCTGTCATACTGGTTTAGCTCCAGGTTTTCAGTGCTTGCTGTGACATTCTCTTGGTATGTGCTATGTGAGGAAGTCTTTCTAATACACAGTGCTTCTATTAAATGAATTAATTGCCCTTTTTTGATGACTCAAAGCAATGAGAAAAAGCTGTTGTCTGCTTCTAGTATTTTCAGTTGACCTTTGTTCTACTTGATATTCATGGATACTTGAGAAGGAAGACTTTCAAAAGGAAAGACTATACCATCCTTATTAGAATATCTGTAGAATGGTATCTGGAAGAGAAGCACTGCACATTAAGCCATATTAGAGAAGCATTTTAACTTTTTATTAAAATATCAAATAGATTAACATATTATTGTGTAATAAAAGCATATTTTGGAGTAGACTTATTTAATTAAAAAATACTGGGTTTATCTATTAATTAGGGCAACTAGTCATTAAAGTTTGAGTGGTTTGGATCAGGTAATACAGATCAAATTCTGTATTACCTACCTTTTTTAAGTTCCTTCACATGCAAAGGAGGTGGTAAGCTGATGATGTGCTATGTAGTTGTTCTAGTTCTTAAAACTGCTTCTTTAGGCTTTTATCAATGCTGAGATTAAACAACTGACACTTTCTGTGTGTCTGTGTTGCTGAAAGGCTGAGAGGCTCTCCTATGGAGGAGGGGAAGGAAGAAGTTGGTGCCATTACTGGTGCTGAGAAGTCATTATGAGTCCAAAAAATTAATTGACGATTGGTTGATTTTCCTTTTTTTCAAAGGAAGGAAAAAAATTTGGAAGTTTTGCTGTTGGGACAACTGATATGCTGGGAAAAATGCAGCAGTATTTTTGTGTCAGCATTTCTCTCCCAGCTGCTGCACCTTTACTGTCTGCAGTTGACAAGATGGCTGGACATGGAAAGTTTCCAGAATTTGAGCACAGCCTGTGGGAGTTGCAGGTTCTTTAGTTACAATCTACTAAGGAGAGTGAGCATTCACTGAAGTTCTGCTTGCAGAGCAGAGGATACTGTTAGTTGTAAAAGAAAGAGCAAGTGATAACAGAGCTTGCTTGAATCAAGCACCTGTCAGTGCTTCCAGCTAGCAGGAGGCAGTCTGACCTTTGGGGACAATGGCACTAGTACTTGTGTTGTGACTAGTGTCAGGAAATTGTTATTAATGGGATATTTATTAGAAATCTAAAGCTGTTTTGTTCAATGTCACAGAGCCAACTTAGAGAAATTGCAATACATCCTGCTGTCTAGCAGTTTTATAATTTATTAAAATTGTGGGTTTTTTAAAGTGCAAGGCTCAGAGCACTTCTTTCTTTCTAAGATGGATGACAGACATTTAGTTTTCTCTAGTGAAACTGAAAGCTCTAAAGATGTTCTTCATCAGAGATACTAATACGAATATTTTATTACAATTATTTTTCCTTAAATTATAGTTTTATATAATTGGCATTTGATTCTTGAATGAAGAAGTTGAAATTTTAGTCATATAGTAAAAGTAGGCTTTTATGGCAGTGTTTTTAATGTAATAGGAGGCAGTAGATTGCAGAGGCTTGTTTTAATAAAACATACCCTTGTGTTTTCTGTGTTAAGTATCCACAATCCTGTTGCCTCTAATATTGGGTTTATACTATCAGATTTTCTTATTTGTGACTATTACAAAGGCGAAGCTTTTGAAATTTTCCCATGTGATGCATTTCATATGTGAATTCTTTGTTTCTTACCGTTTATGGCTTTTACTAAGTCTGTGCACCATATTCTCTGAGACACTTTAGGACAATTGGCTTTAACAGTTGTAGCTAAAAATTTAGATTAAAATTATTCCATTCCCCCTAACCCCAGTTTGCTGCACAAAGAATATGTAGAACATAAGGGTGCAGTGCAGTAGTTTAATGAATATTTCCTTGTTCAGTGTGTGGATAGCTAATTGTGACTCTGAGCCTGCTGTAGGCCATAAAGAGCTTTATTAAAAGAAAGGAGCAGAGGTTAGTTGTCTTCTCTTTCCTGTTACTTATCAGTAACTTAAATTCATATGGTGTCCATACTCAGATTTTTTTTCCATTGATTCAAGCCATCAGTCAAAATCAGCATGGATGACTAACACATATGAAAGTTTAATACAGTTGGGTAGGAATGGCTCTGGCATTTCTATTATATTCCATGAATACAAAGTACAAAATTAATTTCTGAAATCTGATTTGCTGGCAGCCAGAATGTTGCTAGTGCACATTTATTTTTAGAAAAATAATTTAATATTAATTTTAATATTAATATTTTAAAAAATAATAATGTTCACATACAAAGCAAGGACAAGGTAAAATTGTTTCTGCTCTACTTCATTATCTTCAGGGATGTAGTCCAAGTTTTGGTTCTTATATGTCTTAACTAATTGAAAAAGAGCTGATTATGCTGTTCATTTTAACTTACATTCTCTGAAGAATTCCACTTTTAATATATCCAAATTCTGGCAGTGGGATTATTGAAATATACGGTTTTATTCCATATGAATATAGTTATTGTTCCTTAATCAGTTTTGTCATGCATATACAAAAATGGCAAACAGTGGGGAGTAATGAGAGGCATCTGGACTCAGAAGTCCAGAATTGAGTGACTGAAACAATGTAAACATGTAAAAGCTCTCTTTAATCTTGTATGCAATTTATTCAGTCTTTTTCAGATGATTCACTTGGAAATCCAAAGAAAAAGTCCAGCATTCTTGAGAAATTGGGACAGCCCAGGAAAAAAGAAAAGAAGAAAAAGGATTCAGTGCCCTGGTGGTTATCTGAGGAAGACTCGGATGATGGTGGTAAATTTAAAGTTTTGCAATGTTTTGGCCAGAGGGGGTCAGGCTAGTTCTTTCTCATACTGCATGTTAGGCCTGGTTTGAGATTAAGCTGATGCCACTCAAGTGTTTTAGAATGTTACAGTGCAAGTTTGTAAAGCATAAAATTCAAATAGAATTGTATTTTTTTAATGATTCATATTCAAGCTGTATGCAAGCTGTCTGATGGGTTTTTTTCTGTAGCTTTTGAATTAATCAAACTTGTAAAAAATAAGCACATTATCAATAGTAAAATAATTAGAAAATATCATTTACAAACTCGCAGAAATATTTGTATATGTGTTTTGTAGCCAGCCTGTTCTTTATACTGACTTTTTATAGTTTTCTGTTTTCAAAACTGTAGTGGAAAAAGACCAGTTTGTATAAACGTATGCTAACTGCAACATTTGTAGTAGGTTGGAAAAGCACAAAGAAAGAAAAACTTTTCAACACCAGCTGAATCCAAGATGTATGTCTTCAGTATTCTCAACATTTCCCTTGCCAAGAACTGTGGCTCAAGGCAAAATGGGCTGTGATGACATGATTGCTGGTTCAGTATCGACACAGTCACATAGTTCTGGAAGAAAATATATAATTGTTTGCAAGCTTTCCACCTCTATGTTTTTTTATTTTCGACATTGTCTTCTTGTTGGGTAGTAAAACCTATAGTAGTGAGTTTCCACATGATGTTTGCCCTCTTCTTCTTGTAGTAATTGGCAGTTTCTTAATTTTCATGATTCGTATTAATTGCAAGTGGACCCTAACAGAAAGTTACAAAAATAATTTTTTTCATCTGACAGAGTTAAAATACTACTGGTAGTCTCAGATTTTAAGACTATCTGTCAGTGTCATCTTAGTGAGGAGTCAAATCCTAGTCAGCAGTTGTGCCATTTAGGCTTAATCCTAATAGGTGGTACCTGGACTTCTTATCTGTCTTGGCCTTTTAAGATGTTGATGTAAAACTCAGATGGATATGAGAAAATGCTTATCAGGTGGTTATGATATATGATGATTTCCTTTCAGCTTTTCAAATAATGTAAAAATGGAGTGTTCTTGCTGGGCAATGTGAGAATGAAGAGGTTACCATGACTTAATTTTTCTACATACTCTCAAAGAAAATTCTGAGAGAAAATGACTTAGAAGCTCAGCACGTTTCCATGGTTTTTCTGAGATGCTTGAGGCAACCCAACTTTGATACTTATGGTAGAAAACACACTGAAATAGGTTCCTAAAGGGCAGGCTGATTACAAGTTTTAGAGAACAGTGCTTGTGTGGATTAAGTAAAATTAAAAACAGAGTCACCAGAAAAAATGTGATTATATTGAGATGTTCTATCCAATCAATTTCTACCACTGTTTTTAAAATTAAGAATATCTTATCAGTTGTGCAGGTTAACTAGAGATAAAGCTATTAGAACTGGAACAAACTTTATCTACACTTTACTGATGTGTGAAATACCTGGTAAACTTTTCAAGGTGTCTCTTAAGAAAAGCTTCTCATTTAACAGGAAAACATTCAGAAGGTGAGCCTCCCCAGTTTTGCCAGTATGGAATCAATTTACATGCAAAAGAAGCTAGCCTGTTCATATTCATACTGTTGATGGTTTTTGGGGGTTTTTTTGGAGGGAGTTCAAAGTAATCTGTGTGTAATGCAATTTGACTCCAAGATCCAACATCTTGGCAGTTGGACATAACAAAGCTGAGAATATAGGAGTGAACGCCAACTGTGCCGGATCCGTGCACAGAATTCTTCCCTGAGCACCGTTTTTGCCAGGCACATTATTAGTTTTATTTCATTTACTGCTCTGTCGCCACTCTGCATAGAATAGCACACTCATGGAGCATATGCAATAAGCCATATCCCACCTACTACTTTAATACTGCCAAGCAGAGGGGCCTTTAATTCCTGCTAGAGGGCCTTCCACTTTCTGTCTTAGCAAGAAGGTGGTAACTCCATGGAATGAAGTTGGATCTCCTGGTTGTGGCATTCCATGAGGAAAGGGATATATTTGTCACACTGGACACTTGTAAATGGTATCAGTTGCAAAATGTGTGCTATGATGAATCCCCTTCTGCAAGGTAGGGTCTAGTTGTAGGGCAATTAACCTAGAGTCAAAAGAGAGCCATTTGCAGAGACCACCTTGACCACCTTTGGGATAAATTGAGTTTTCCTCTGCAGTTTTATGTGGCTATGATTTTACTTCATGTAGATGCATTTGTGGTGTTTTAAAATGACAGGTTGGGTGACTGTAAGGAATTCAGTGTGGATAGGCTTCCAGAACTGCTCATGTTTTCCTCTGTGTATCTCTCTGTTTTTCTTGTGTGCTTCCAAGTACTTTGTCAAATACTATTTTGCCATGTCTAATATTCTCAGCATGTGTTTGTTGTGTGGTGTGTTGCTCAAACTAATAACAGTGGATGATGGCACAGCAACATTGCAATATAAGTTACTGCACTGGATGACTGAGAAGATGATTTAGACTTGTAGTTCTTTGTAAGGTTATATGTAAACATCTCCTAAACAGCAAAATATTTTCTTATGGGAGAAAATAGTAACACTGCTGTGATGCTAACAAACATGAAAATAAACTAAATTTAATTTCAGGAAAGTGTAATGTCAGCATGCTTCAAAATTTTGTGGAGACCCTTGTGTGTCCTTCTAGGCTGGAACCTTCATATTCGTTGCAGATAGGACATAGTCAATAGACTATCAGCTAATAGAAGTGTTTTTAAAGTTGTTTTATCACAAAACAACTTTAAAAACAAAATTAGTGTTTTTAAAGTTATCATCATGAATCAAACTTATATAAATGCTTAAATCTACCTTAACCCACAGTGTGGCAGTGCATTCATTACAAATGTGTGCTCCATATGTATAAGTTGATGTCTTTGGGTGTGACTGTTTAGAGATAACATTATCTGAAGAAAGTCTGGATAATTAGCTTGTGTAATACACCAAGCTGATATGTTGCTTGCAGTTTGAGGTTTTGAGTTACTTCATTATCTATGTCACACTTTCTTGAAAGACAAAGACAAGAAGATTAAATATGTGCTCTACATTTACTTGTTGTCTGTTCTTTTTTTTTTTTCCCAAGGCATCTTGTTGCAGAAGTCCCAGGAAATAGGTAGAGAGTTAAACTAATAGCCTGTTTCACTGAGAAGTATAAAGTACATTTTAAAATAACTCCATGAGTTATTCTAGTTTAAACTGTTTGCTCTTCAGCTTTAAACTGGAATGTGCAAATTATGATTCAAGACACTGTCTTCCATATTGGACAGGTTGGAGACTTAGGTGATGTCCTTTCTACTTGCTTTTGTCATTTAAATGATAAAAAGAAATTGGATACTAAGAATTCCTGTCCTGTCTTGCTTGCATGTCTGGTCCTGCTGTTTGTCTTTTCAAGATTTTCAAATAAAATTTGTTAAAGTGAGAAAAGAGAAGAAACTGGCAGAAAGCCATGCTGAAGCAGTGGAAAATACTGAACAAAAGAGTCCCCATTCCCAGTCTGGTATTTGATTAAATATGTTTTGATATACTTATTCAGTATCAACCTTGTATTATTAGTGTGTTTTCTGTAGAAAACCCTTAGCAAACTGTCCATTTGACCAAGCTGCCACATACTTCTTTTATCATTTTCAAAAGAAATTAATAATTGTGTGAATTTTTGCTCAGTTGTTGTAGCATTATATATCCCTACATATAGTGATATAGTAGGACAGACAGTATTTCATGTCACCTGGGGAAAGGGGGAAATAACTTCAAAAATCTGAACAAAATGTACTAAGTACTAATGTACTTCCTATTTACTACATCTTTAGTAAATAGTAAATAGAATGTCTGTTATACTTCCTGCATTTCATACTCGAGAAATATTAATATTCATTGTTCTACTTGTTTAATTCCAAAGATAGCAGTCAGATAAGCATTTTACTTATTTTCTGTTGATGTAGTTCTTTTCCCTTTGCTTATAAATGTGCTGCTTTGTGCATGCTGCCCCTGGAATGGAGACAGCAGTTAGTATAAATGAAAAACTTAAATTGTTTAATCTGCACTGCAGGATTATTTTAGTCAGTGTAACTTTAGATTCAGCATTTTATGTGGGTCATTTTGTTATCTGAAAAGAAACTCCAGCAAATAAGTAGGAATTATAAGCATTGATCCATTAAATACTTCTGTATAAAAGACAACAGCAATTAACCTCTCCTGATTTAAGCATGGCATTGGTGTTAAATTCAAGCAGATCAGTAATGTTTTGGAGAGCCATGAAAATGTAATATTTGGCACTTGGTCTTTGGATCATGTTGGTGATGTAGTTTGTAGACTATAGAACATCTCCTGTGCTAGTTTTCTAGAATGTATGTGCAGTCTAGAAAATGTATGTATATGTTTTCATAAGCCTCATTTGCATAGAATAGGTGTAAAGCATCTAAGTCTGGGAGATAAATACTAAAAATTAATTTATTTCTCAAATCAGGATTAGTATTTGAAATATACTAATAGGATGGGCTAATACTAATGGAATAGGAGGACCTCTGTACTTATTTCAAATTACTGTTTTAAAAGGTATCAGGGGTTTGCATTAGTTGTAATAGATGGTATGCTGAAAACACTTCTAGTTTCCCAGTAAGTGTGGGAGAATATAGATTTAGAGGAGTATTGCCTTGCTAGTGAACTTCCTCATTAGTTGAGGGAATAAAGGACCTATGCATTGTATCAGAATGGATTTATTCAATTTCTCTTCTTGCTGCACCAGCTTCCTTTAGTTATCTTGGGTGTTTGAGCTGTGTTAAGGTCTGGTCACATATCCCCATACTCCTGTTCTAAATAGCAGAAGTATTTGTCTCGATGTCCTAGCCTACTCTCTCTTTCAAAAGAGGTGAACTCAAAAGACCCATAAATAAGAGTTTTATCAGAATTACTCAATTCTGAAGCCTCTTCCACTGTGACAATTTTAACATGGCAAAATCCAACACAGACCATCTGGCTAGCCTAAGGTATATGAAGGCTGTAGTGTAGCTGTAAGAGTCCAGAGGAGGCCACTAAGGTGGTCAGAGGGGTGGAGGACCTCTTCTATGAGAAAAGGCTGAGAGAATTGGCTTTGTTAAGCCCAGGAAAGAAACTTCAGGGTGACTTAACTGTGTCCTTGCAGTACATGAAGGGAACCTGCAAGAAAGTTGGAGAGAGACTTTTGACAGGAGCATGTAGTACAGGCCAAGGGGGAATGATACCACTCTAAAAGAGAGTAGCTTTAGATTAGGTATTAGGAGGAAGTTCTTTGCTGTGACGGTGAATGGGTTGCTCAGAGAAGCTGTGGATGCCCCATCCCTGGAAGTGTTGAAGGCCATATTGGATGGGTCTGTGAGCAATCTGGTCTAGTGAAAGGTGTCCCTGCCCATGGCAGGGGTATTGGAGCTGGATGGTCTTTAAGGTCCTTTCCAACTCAAATCATTCTGTGATTCTTTGATCATGAGAGCAGTTTTCAGCATAGGTGCTGTTATCTAAAACTTAATTCTGCTAACATGAATGGAATTTGCTTTGCTGCTGAGCAAGTCCCCACAAGGGTTAGAGCAAACAAATGCAGTTCTTATATCTGACAGTGATAAAGACAGTAATAATTTATACTGATGTACCTATGTTTTCCCACTTTTCTTTGTACCAGCCTACATGCTTCCTTTCAAACCTTGTAGTAAAAACCTTTTACTCATGAAGTAATTTTACTAGTTTTCTTTGTTTTCAGGTCATTTATTGAGTTCCTAGAAGAGTGTAATTGAATACAAAGTGTACCTGTATCAAGAATCTTTTTAAAAATAAGAAAAAAAGGATAGAGAAGAGTAGTTCTATTTCCAGAAGTTACAAGTATTTACTTTAGTTTTTACTTACAGGTAGAAAATTAGAAGTAATTCAGTGTACAAGAAACTGAACTGTATTACTTTTTCAGAAGTGTCACTTTGAAGTCTCACATCTTGTTCTTCTCTTTATTCCCTGTCCACTATGCATTAAAATTTATAATGCTTATGGACACTTAGAAGTAGTTCCCTCTAAATCTTCCAGTGCATCTCGCAGCAAGGCTTTGTCTAAATCCAAAATGTTGGAAAAATTTCATAAGGACAAGAAATATTCGTACTTAAACAAAGAAGAAGGAGCCCTCGCTTCTGACAGTCCATGCAATTCTGAGGGTAACAAATTTACTGTATTTTATATGGTATTAAAAAGGTAAAATGACTCAATTCTGACAGTCTTGGTCAGATTAGGAAAAAAAGAAGTTACTTTTTTGAAGTAGATGTTTGTTATTATCAGTTTGAGTCCTTTGTATTTGTTTTTAAATGTTTCTCTGCAAGTATGGTCGTTATAAATACTCAAAGTGAAACTCAGAAATTCAGAAATTCATTTCAAGTGGCTGTACTTGAAAAAAAGAATACCATATATCATTAGCCTTACAAAATGTTGCTTAGAAACATACAGGTAGTGAAATCTTTGGCATTCAAGATAACTACTTAAGGAGCTTTTAAGAGAAGTAACAAATACCCACCCCACAAAAACAGATGGCTCTTGCTAACCTCACTGAAATCCATGGGACTGTTCAAACACAAAAACACAATGAAGAGACTGTTAAATCCATATGAGTTGATATTTTCTCCAGGTTTGATTGAGTTTCTCAGAGTCCAGATTGTGTAGGGTGAGAGAAAACAAATATTCTTGCCTTCACTAGCCGTGAGTGGTGTGTGTGGGTGTTGAGAGTGGCTAAGTTGCAAAGTTTAATAGCTGCAGAAACAGTATTTGATTTTCAGATTATTAAGGAAGGTGCTTTTTAAAAAAACCTCTGATTTGACTCAAACCCTAACTAGCAAAATATTTAAAAATTATTAGATAGCTTACATAAACCCTGTGAAGCCTCCAAGATCATTGTACATCTGCTGAGAAATTTCACTCTATATCAGATGATTTAAATTAAAAAAACACAGGAAAATGTTTTCTTTAAACTTCTGTTCTATTAAACATTCTAATTGGGTTTTTTTACTGTTGTATAATCCCTTCTTCTTTCTTGCAAATCTCTAGATAGGAGGTCAGTTGCAGTTACCATTTGATTCTGCTAATATAGTCTCATTCAGAAATAGGGTGTTGGAGGTCTGGTGAGGGTATGGCTAATCTAAAGCTCTGCAAAAAACTTGTGACCCAGCTGCAAACAGACTCCTATTTGCTGTCTTGATAACTAGAATAGAGTGCATCTGAGTAAATTACTTTAAATTACTGCATTTGGCTACCTGAGAAATGGGCTATTTGTAGATTTTTACTTCTTTTCAGCACTTTGAGCTTTCCATTTTCTGCTTTTCAATGTAGCAATATGTATTTATTTCGGCATTAACTTTCTATACATGTGGAGCTTGCCTTTTAGACAATGTCTCTGACATTTATTTGTTGCATGCAGGGCAAGTCAGTCAGAGCTCTATATTGAGGAGAGAGCTGAGGTTAGATACAGAGATGGGGATTTCCAAGGTGTGGAATCTTCTGCACTTAGCCTCCCAAAAAGACATGCAAGGGGACTTTATCATTAAAATCCAGAAAGTAAACCTATTCTGTTTTTTTAAAAAGGAGGCTCTTACAATCAGAATGGACATGCTGAGGGCTGCCCAGTAGGGAGGGAAAAGGTGTTGAGGCTCTTACTTTCCCACCTTCCTTCACCCTAAGTACATTTTCAGTACCAAAGGGAAAGGATTGTCCATTGTCATGATATAGGCAAGTATGGCATTTTTAAATGGGACTTGTATGGGCTTGTGTAGAGAACAGAGGGAGATCCCAGAGCTGAAGCACTTGGTCAGCACATGGAAGACTGATTTAGTGTAATTGATGTATGGATCTCCTCCAGTCTCCTGCAGCAGGAAATGAGCTGTTGTCAGTGTCTTCACCCTTCTGGTGTGCTCAGTACAAGGACACAGCTACATCTCAGCATCCTGTGGCCAGGCAGGACAAAAAAATCTGAGTGTTACCAACTGACGATTCATGTTGGAAAAAACAGACTTAGTTTATGTTCCCTTCTGTGAGAACTGTTCAATAACTTCATGTGTCATTTGATAAAATGCATAAGCAGCTTTTCTCCTATCCCGCCTCCAATGAGAACTTATTCAGAATCTGGGTATAAACCTGTGTGTTTTGCAGGCAGGCAGAAGGGAGTATTTGAACTAGGAGTGTCCTGCGATATCTGGCTTTTAGTCTTCCATAAGGAAGTAGATATGGCAGTGTTCTGCCTGAGAGCCAGGAAAAAGTTGTTAGGGTGATATTGAACCCTCACAACAGTGAAATTGCAATTAGGAGAGAGCAGCTACAAATTGTAGTTGCATAAATGTGTAGAATGGCATAACTGGGTGTTCATCAGTGACTTTTAAGAGACTTTGATTACTATTTTTTTCCTTATAGACTTTAAGCAACAAATGAAATGTAGCTGCCAAGCCAATGGCTTAGCAAGTTTAAAAAATCTGTGGTGATCTGAGGTAGTAAATCCAATAAAATGGACTGGGTTTTAAGAAAGAAATGTCAATTTCTGTATAGGGTCTGTGTGTGAAATTGTCTTTCATGAGTAATGTGATAGTAATTCAGGTGCATTTGACTCATGCTGAACTTTAGGTATGTGTGCAAATATGAAAGATAGGAAGATAATGTTTATAATAGCTTAATTAATTAAACAAGATTTACATATAGAATCAGTGGAAATTAGGTGAATGCGACTCGTGAGACTGCACATCTTTGCAGTTGCGATGCGAGATTAAAACTGGTAGTTCTGGAAGGAGACTAGAAAAATGATGTGTCATACAATAACTTTTAGATGGTAGTCAAGAATATTGCAACTTTGTTCCTAGGAATGCTTGAAACCAATGGAAACTTTCTCAAGGTGCAAAACACTTCACAGCCTGTGGGAGAAGGTCATGAAAACATGGATGTGGAAAAGATGCAGCTTGAGAAAAGTAATGGAGATGCTGTATCTTTGAGTAGAGACAGCCTGGAAACAAATGGTGAGAACTGAGACCCCAACATTTCGTCAAGTTAACTAGATCTAAATAAGTTACTATTAAAAGCAGTTTACCTTAATTCATTTCAAGATGGGATTCTTCAGTTCTGTCAGCTGTGTCGTGAACTAAAGTCTCCTAGTACTAGTTTGTAATGATTTGATACCATTAATACTTTATAAGTCTGGCTGTAGTTGTTGTTAACTATTTTGGCTATTCTGTGTGGACATAGAGCACAGACACATTTTATTTTCTTCTCTGAAATTTAGATTCAGTTTTAGCTTCTGGGCCTAATCAAAGCATCATAGGAGTTGGATTGGATACCTTGGAAGAGCAAGAAGAAAAAGAGATCTTCTTTGCCAAGCTTGAACGAGAAGCTTCCTCTACTCTTGATTATTCAAGATTAAATAAAGAGCTGGATTCCAATGATTCTGTCATACTAGCACCATTTGTACGGTAATTTAGAGGGAAGAAAGGTTGTGGACTGTAGTAGTGGGCACATGTGGATTGGGTATCACCACTGAGATCTTGTTGGATGATATCCTGTTTATAATTTCAGACAGTTTTTTGTTTGTTTATTGTGGTCTGGCTTTTTTTCTTGAAGACAAGGAAAGAAATGAGCTTAATAAATAAAAGTGAGAGCATGAGTTAGTGATGACTGGATGTAGCTCCACAGTCTGGTGCATAACAGTAGTAACAACATTCATAAATGTAAGGGGTAACTAAATGAAGAGGTAACAACGATAATAACAAGGAAATAGATCAGGAAGCATTCTGTGTCACTTTAGACATGATATTACAAATGAATCTAGAGGAAAGATACTTAATCTTCACAGACTAGGGCAACCCATTTATAATCAGTTACGTGAAAATAAGTTCCAGCATCTGTTAGAGGAATGGATGAAGGGGAAGTTCGGGCTGCTCTTGGTGAAAATGCTGAGTTCAGAGGCAGCTTCTGATGTGAAAACAGTTGGAGGAGCAGAATTCTGGAGAGCTTTAGATAAGGGCAAAACTTCTGTTTTATGGGAAAAGGGGAAAGAAAGGAGAGGTGGGTGGTTTTTAAAATTATTTTGTTAATCCAGAATGACAGGGTCAGAACAGGAAGCAAACCTTGATGATAAAAATATTTTTTGAGAAGTTAATGTAGATGTTGAAGAGAATGCAGAAAGGGAGTGGTTTTAAGAATTAGATTCAGAATTTTAGCTGGGAAATACTTTATTTTAATAATTGCTGACACTTTTACAACTTTTCTTACCTTTGATTTGATTTGTTGGACAAATTACAATTTTTTCTTTTATTACTAATTGTAAGAAGTATCAGAGTGTAGAGTTCCAAGAAAAAAAAGTATGTTTATTTGCTGTCCAAAAAGAGAGTAGAATTTTCATTTTATTTCTCAGAAATGAAAATGCTGAAAAAGAAGAAGAACCTTCACATGAAGAGAAATCTGGTAATACAATGTTTTTTTTACCTGTAGTTCTTACATCAGCCTTTTAGGCTGCTGTTGCATTATGACTGTGCAGCTGTTATTCATACAGAGGTGTTAAGGGGTTTACTTTTGCTTCTGTGCTTTTTCTTTTCTTAAGTGGATTTTTAATCTCTTGTAAACCAAAAGACAAAAAAAAGGGGGAAAAAAGTAGTAAAAATCCTGCATCATTCATGAATGGAAAAAAAACCTCTGATGTCAAAATTTGATTTACTCCAGTGTCTTAACTGTCATCTGCATTTTTGTGCCATCTTCTCATACCTGAGTTTAATCTCTGTAATCTGCAGTATTACTCTTATCTGATTTCCCCTCAAAATTTTCATGCTACATTTCTTGCTTATTTGTCTTTCATTTGTCATGTCTCTTTATTTTATGCTTCATTGCTGTCATATGATAGTGTGTATTCATGTAATTTAATGGATTGTATTTTAAAATTTATATATTCAGCTGAAATTTTGAGAGGTCCTGTTGTCAGGATTGAATTTCCCAAGCATAAGGAGGATGTATTTGTAAACCATAAACACATAAAGAACACATTATGATCCAGGGTTTTGCAAGGGTTCTAGGTTTAAGTGTTATAGATAATGCAGACACTGGAGCCTGTTAACCACAGGAGCTGAGTGGGAGAGATACAGCAAAAGAGAACTGAAACTTGTGAAAGGATCTAGGTCACTGAAGGAAAAGCCTTTGGCTTGCTTGTAAAGTTCATTCTCTGACACACTTGGGTTTAAATAGTGTTTACTCTTGAGAGTGGCTTTTGGCCCACCAGAGCAGGTCATAAGAAGCCAAATTACAGATTCTGAGCCCCAAAACTGTGTAAGTGAATGTACAGAGTACTTTATCTACTGCGTTGGAATTGCATCATTGCACCCCTAAGTGAGAGAGAGTAATTGAATAAAAGGGGTCAGTTCAAGTACACCTTGAGGAGACAAAGCATATCTGATCACAAGGCAAGCTTCCTTTGAATTTAGAGACATTATGTGTGACTTTCACTGTAGTTTTAGTACCACACTCAGTTTTGGAAACTTTCTGTTTCCTTTGTAAAAGGAGTAACATTAGCAGTAGCTGTTCTTACACGAGGCACTGGGGAAGAGGAAATAGCTGTCTCTTGGTGCTTTATCTCCTTGAGTATTCATTCTGTTTGACATTTATTTTTATTCTTTTAGGTAGCTACAGTGAAGATTTTGAAGAAGAAACAGATACTAAACCTGCCCTTAAAACTGAGGGAGATCAGATGAATCAAAACATCATGTCAGAAGTTGATTTAAGTCCTCAAGAACAGGTATAGCTTGCTGAATGTTTCTGTTACTTGCAGGAATTTTAAAAGCTCTGCAATATGTAACTAAATATAGTAAACCTTTATATGATACATCCTGTCTGAAAGAATATAGTGGTTCTCAGACTATATCTTTCTATTAAGGATATGCACTTCCCTGTGCTAGATCATAGAAGGGGTTAAGTTCTTCACAGGGTTTCCTGCTTACTCCCCTTTGAGTTAAGAAATGAGGATGGAAGTGCACAAATGATTAGCTCAGGTGGAAACTTGGCTTCAGGATGGGTAGTGATTATTCTCTCAGAGCTTTTGAGGTGCAAGAGACACAAACTACTGGAATTAATTCTGTGCAGAGAAGCCCTTTGGACAGAGGACCCAAAAATCTTCACTGTATGAGCTGTGAGGGCACTGCTGTCCACTGGCTTGCTCAGGTCTTCTCATGTGTAGCACATGTGGTTGGAGCACATGGCTGCATCCCTGGAGCACACATTCAGATTTGGGTTTTTTTCAAAAGAAGTCTGTAGAGCATCATGTATTCATTTTCACTAGGTAAACTTATTTGGTTTTTTTATTCTTTTTAAATAAATTTATTAGAGTGGTATTTCTAGTAAATGTTTGAAAAGTTAGAATGGAGCTGTAAATAATGTCCTTACTGCTACTTAACTTTTGTTTTTCAAATTACAATAAAAGAGATCCAGGAATATGCAGAGGAGCATTTAATTTCTATTCACTTGTGAAAAGGTTTATAGAGTACAGCACGTTGAGAACTTTACGGCATCCTAAGGAGGATTTTTGAGAGAGGTGCCTATTCTTGGAGAATTAATAACTGGTTAGTTCTAAGTTCTAAAATCTGTTTTTAGGTATTGGACCAACTTTTAAAGTTTGTCCAATTTTTTTTTCCTGATATTCAAAAAGTAGTTGGTTGGTTGATTGTTTTTTTTTTTTTTGTTAGGAAGAAGCAAACACTGGCATGCTGGCTAAAGGTAAAATATAAACTTTGTTCAGTGGAAGAAGATAAAATGGAACTTTTTGAAACTTGCTTACTTGATTTTTACTATTTTGATATTTTTCACCTTATTTTATTGTGTTCTACTGAAAATACATTGAATTTAAATAGTTAAAAATAATCTACATATTAACACTTCAAGGTGATCATCAATGTATTTTTATATTTATTACACCTACTCAGAACTCAGACTTGTAATCAGAGTTCATTGGTTTTCCACTAATGGCAATAAAATAATTACATAGTATTTTTTGTATACTTAAGACATCATGCTCTGATATACTTCTAATTCCAGTGTGATGAAGTGTAAATAAGAGAATTTTTGTTTCCTTTAACATTTATCTTCTTAGTTGTATTGCTTGATTCACAAGATTCTGCTGTAGAGCTTCAGAAGGCCATTGAAGCATCAGATGTAGCTCCAGGTGAACATGATCAGCCTGAAGAAGTCAGTGCAGTTGAAATGAATGAAGCAGGTAAGGGGTGCTTTAGAAAAAGAAAAAAACCAAAGAAAACCCACCACACAACAAAACTCAAAACCCTAAATCTTCCTTTGTTAAAATAGATGACTCCAATGTCTTCACTTGTTCTTAGATTACTGGGAAACATGGAGCCCTTGGCTTTTGCCAACAAATCTTGAAAGCAGGAGGAAATACTTCAGGAAATAATGATGTTTCTGCCACTTGGTTGTTGAAAAGTAGTTTTTGATGCTGCAATTTTATGTTTAAATACCATCTCTTCTGGTTATGTCTCATATCTAAAATTCTTCTGCATTGAACTGAATTATTAAATACATTCTCTTATCAAACTTCACACAACAGTACAGGCCACTAGTATCCAGATTATGGCTGTGATGGCACCTGTTCAAATAGTCATTTAAAATGTTAATTTTGGTAGTGTTAAAATATTGAGATGGGGAGAATGAGGGAGAGGAATGCAAACTGTAGATGAGATAATTTAGTAAGCACTAAATAACTTGGCAACTGTTTCTTTTTATAGGAAAAATGAGATTTTAAATTATTTTTTAATGCGCATGATATCACTGTTTTTCCCCACATAATAGACCAAGCTAGTAACTGAAACACAGGCTCCAGTGGGGTGTTTCCCAAAACAGAAAATCCAGTAGTGTCTCTTACAAGGCTGCTTTTTTCTCAGGTACTTCCTATGGACAAGCCACGAGTGACATGGAAGCGCTATACCAGGCGTATCATCACATTGATCAGTCTCTGGGGGACACTGGCGAGCAAAAACTGCGCAATTCTGCAGTGCCAGCCTCAGAAGGCTTAGGGCAAGGCATTGCACAAAATAATGACATCTATGCAAAAAACATGTCAACTGTTGATTCAGGTAAATAGCTCAAAGGAAGGCATGTATTGTACAAGCTTGTAAAATGAGTGAACTAGTAATATCTATAATAGTCCATTTATGAAACATTTTTTAATGTTGTCCTTGTAACAAATATTTTTTCTAGGTGTTTTTTTAATTTGTTTTATATTTATTTCTCATTTTTTAGATTTACCTACTGTGGAAGAATTGATGAAAACAATTACAGGACACATGTATAATACCAGAAATTTTGATGTGGACCCTGAACGGTATTTATTACAAGATGCATTTTAAGACTTGTAGCAATCTAAAGCTGCTAACAATTTGTGAAAAACAGCTCACTAAATAACTTATCTGTATCTTTCTCTAATTAAATACTGAAATTCTGTTATATCCTGCACTGGCATTATAGCATTTGCAGTGAACTGTTAAATGAATTATACAGTGTTAATAGGTTTAGACCAGGGATTCCCATACTTACTTCAGGTAATAAGCAGCAATGTTTGTCAAATCATTTGGAGGAGTATTCATCACTCTCAGAGCTAGGATCTCTACCTTCCCAGTCTTCTGCTCTTTCCCCTTCCCCATACAAGGATTTCAGCTCACAACCTGTCCTAGCTCTCCAAACTCCCAAATCTTAAATTCAAAGATGAAGACTCACTGTTGTGAGTCTTACTAACCTATGCTCCATACCTCCCCCTTATTTCCTGCAACTCTTCTGTCTAGAGCAGACAGCACAGGCCTTGCAACTGTCAGAAATACAGCTTATGCTTAGCAGACAAATTCAGAGATCTTACATAGCTGCACTCAGTAGAGATACTGCTCATTTTTTAATTAGTGTTAATTGCAGGCTTACAGGTGTTTATCTTGTAGCCAATTTTGCTACCTCTACAAAAACAGCTGCTGCTAAGAAGTAGCTCTTTTTACACAGCACAGGAGCAAATCTGTATGACTAAGTCTGCAAGATGAGTTTTAAAAGAGACTTAGTAGCTCTTTGAAATTCAGGCAGTTTTTACAGCTGATATGTAAAGAAAAAATGTCCTGCTTTTTCCAGAGTGATAGAAAAGCAAAAGGCAAAAGTCTTATTATGTATGACTTCTTTTTTCTTGTAGTCCTGTGAAACTGGTAGGTAGCACAGACAATGACCTCATTAGCCACTCACCCTTTGAAGACCCCCAGAATAATACATCTTGGGAGAAAAACTTAGTTGAAAAGTTTAACAGAGAAGAAAGCATCTTTCTACAGACAAGCATGAATGATGATACCTTTCAGAGGATGACTGAGAAAGAAATTCAGACCAGTGAAGTGCAGCCTGATCTACTAAGAGAAAAAATAGGACAAAACTCTCTGCTTTCACAAGGAAGCAAAACTAAAAAAGTAAGTATTACCAACCAGATTTTTGTTATATGGAACTAATTTTAAAAGGTATGTATTTTTAGACTGCCTGTCACTTGATTATGCTCTGATGTTAAGAAATTGAGAGATCTGAGAAATTGATGTGTTTGTTTTTCTTGAAATTCTCATGCTGCCATTTCTACTGTTAGAGGTCACCAAATCCAATGTACATTGGGTCCAGTGGGATTCTTCTTGTCCCAGCCCAACATGTGGAAGGCTGCTGCAATGCCATATCTCCAGCTCAAGACAGGGATGTCTCTGAGCATGTGAGCATTGGAGGGACACATGTAAATGCACAACAGGCTCAGAACAGGGAGCATTTGTACAGAGAGAACAATTAGAAATGCAGTTCAGTAAGAACATAGGAGGGGCTGCAATGGTCAATGTGCAGCTGAGTCAGACAAGTGTGCTGACCAGCAACCTGGTCATGTCACTAGCTTTTTTAATCTGTTTTTTTCCTCTATTTCCCAGACTTGTTTCTTACTTCTATTTTGTTCTTTCCCTAGAGATCCTGTAAATTTTGCATATTCTTACAATCATCTCAGACATCCCAGTACAAGATTTATCTAATCCCAAATCTTCTCCTTGCATCCCCAAATTATTTTCTCCTTGCCTCCCCTATATTAGCTTCACATTCCTTTAGGCAGTCATCTTTTGTGTGTGCAAGGTATTGTAGGGACAGAGGTTTGGCTGATTTATCCTGGTGGATTGCTCTTTAGGGAAAACAGGCTAAACTTTTTCATCTGTTGGTCTTGGGAGTTGTGTGCTTTGTTTTTGATGATCAAGTTTAGCAGAGTTCCTCTGCCTACCACTGTTCCTTTATTCATGGCTGGGTTTCTATATCCACTGTGTTTATTAGCCTTTAGTCATGTCCTACCTTATTTGGTAAGCAAAAGACCCTGTAATGTACAGTACAATTAAAATAAAAATACATTTTCTCAGATCAATAAAATAGAGCCAGTACAAAGTACTTGCCTTTGTGTAGTTCTGAAGTAGTACAATTCTGCAAAATTACTTACTACTAATTTGTTTAAAAACAATGCTTGCCATCACCCTGAGTCTTATTTTGTAATTTTGGCAACTGGTTCTATGTTTTCACTGGTGAATGCTACCCCTACAGCAGAGCCTAAAACTTGCTTTAAACCAATGTGTTCTGTCACAGGCTCTTCGGTCTTGTTCCTTGAAGAATGAAAGATCAGAACCAATGTCAACCAAACCAAAGAATATTAGAAGTCCAGCACCTGTACATAAAAAGAAACCTTCACATGGTCCTCATGGAATGGTTAGAAGTTCTGGCTATGGGAAGCCCAGTTTACTTTCAAAGCAGTCTTTTCCAGTCAGTGAAAAGAAAACACCAAAAGAAACTTTCAAAAAGACTTGTATGAAAGCCAGAAGTCCTGCAGATAGAGCAAAATCTAAAGGTAATTGTAAGTTTTGAGAGTTTTAATTCTGAGTTTAAGAGCCAGAGAGATTTGCTTTTTATGCTTCACATTAAAAAAAACCCAAATGTTGTAGAGAAATCTAAACTCAAATGCAGTTAAGTACTGATTTTTTTCTGTATTAGCATGAAATAGCTGTGAGAGAGACTTTTATATGAATCTTTTTAGTCTTGCTTCATCTCCACTCACATTTACCACCACTATGTTTGAGACTTATCTATTGTTCACCAGCAAGACCAAAAGAGTAAAAAAAGCTGGTGTTCAAAAATTAATATCTACAAGTTGACATTTTTCATTACAGTAAATGCAAAGATTTGCTGACTCACTAACTTGTATGTTTGAAGCTGAATTCCTGTTCTCAGCTTCTTTTGATCTTTGCTTTCCTAGAGTACAAAAGAAGTACTAGAAAGGAAGTCCTATTTTCTGTTCATGTCTCTTGGAAACACTATGGAAAGGAGAATACCACTGTAATCCTGTGAAAGCTGGGTTGCAAGGAAACTTTTTATTTTGGGGTGAAGCCCAAAGAGTTTCATAAGATAATTCATCTTAAGCTTATTCAGCTTAATTCAGACAATGTTTGCTATCCCTGAGGCATGAGCAAGTAACACTACAGGTACCCAGGCTTAATGCACTTCTAGCATGCAGTGCTTTTAAAAGCCCTGGAGGTAGTGTCAGGAAAAGCAGTTTAGGATTATTCACCTGTCTTAGGGAGGTGCTTCAGTGGCAGCTGTTGAACTGGAGGACCTCAGTTCCTCAGTACATTGATGTGTCTCTCCCTGAGGAAGAGGTTTTACAGCCTGGTGAAAGTGGTAAAGTGAATGACAAGTATTGAGAAAATAAGACTACAGGCTTCATTCACACTTGCTCTTCCCTCTCTGGCTATAACTGTTCATGATAGTTCAATTTTATGTGTTTCAGAAAATTAATCTCACCTGGCTGCATTCTGCAGGGGCCTCTTCTATAGCTAGGAGGAGAATAACATTGAATCAAGAAATTGCCAAGTCATCAGTGCTAAGGGAGCACCTTTCTGAGGGGTGTGTGACACTAAAAAGGCATGAGATTTGGAGAAGAATCATTGTCTGGTGGGGTTTTTATTCAGGTGTAACATTCCTAAGCAGGAGCAGTTGAAATGGCAGTTGTAGTTACTATCAGAAGGCTGAGATGTGAACAGTTCCATGTATGTTAGTGACTCTAGAGGCATCTTTCCTGATTTCTTACTCCAGTCAAGTTGTTATTTGATGCAACAAATAAATGTTGCATTTCTTTCTGTACTGTCTGCAATCTAAAGTCTATTTTGAAAATTGCTATGTCTTATCTTTCCCATAGCTTGAAATATTTTGTGTTTATGTATACTTAGATAACTGGCTGCTTCTAAAGTGGAGGAGTGAGGTTAACCTTGTTTTGTGAAGGATTTATTATCCAGCTGCTTGTTTCAGTTGTTCTCTTGGGTTTTGTTTATCTTGTCATCAGTTCCTTACTTTAAAAAAAATAAAAACCCTCCAACTTTTCCATAGTATATCATTGTTCTCAACTTTCTGTATTTCAGTCAAAATTCAGGTTGTAGAATAATTTATATACCTACAGGTTGGATCACATGAATACATATTTTTTTTAAAGGACATAAAATTCTGAATATAATTTGTTCTATTTTACTTTCTGCCTAAATGAAGAAGCCTTATTTGCTACTAGGATAATAAGATCTGCAGCAAATGAACCAACTTTGGAGGGAAGTATTAACAGAGTTTTGTCTGGCCAATCAGTTGTTAGTAATCTTGGACACCAGGCTGAGGATTATAACAGGCAATATCATCATGTGAGTAATAACCAGTGTTGCTCCTAATTATAGCATGTACAACTTGGTCTGCAAGCCTATTTTTTCAAGGCTTTTAACAATTATCATAAGGTTGGTAAATACTGAAGTAGTGAATGAAGACTTCCCTTTCGTCAAATACTACTTTTTACTTTTAAAATATGCAAATATAATTTTACTGCTTTTCAGTTGCTTGGATAGTGCTGTTGCTTTGGTGGGTCTATATAAGTAAAGTGGCTTATTAAATTATAAAAATTACTATTTCATTGTAAAAGAAGGTTAAATATCACTTCTACTTATAATATTCTCCTATGAATGTTTAAACAGTACTACTGTTCAGGGATTTTTCCTATTTGCATTGCATTAAATATTTAATAGTACCTTCTGGCTTCTCCAAGTTGACTGAATTTACAGTACCATAATGATTTTTCCTTCTCCCTTATCAACTGCATAAAAAAGCTATTCATTGAATACCTAAAGCATTGCTGCTTTTCTAAAAGTAAGATGATGCATAATTATAATTATGGTAGCAATATAGTGGCTGTCATATGAGATGTATTAGTTTCTTTTTGGATTTTTTTGTTTTCTTTTCCTCATATATATTTTGCAAATGAGGTTACTCATTAAAATGAATATAGGATGTTTTGCTATTAAAGTGTTGGGGGGGGGGGGTTGTATTTTGGGTTGTTTTTTCAAGTGCCTTGTGTTGTTGCTGAGAGCTAGACAAACCAGTTAAATAAAGCTGATAAGCAGAGTTCTGGTAAACAATCAACTCAGTGTAATGTTTCCCTGAATTGTCTGCCCTAGGACTTATCATTTTCCCCTTCCAAAAGCTGTGATAGAGAGCTGTATTTGTTAAAACGACTACAAACAGCAGAGGAGGACCTGAACAGAGCTCGGGATTTGGTTCAGCAGCTGGCCAGCAAGCTTTCACAAAAAGAGAAGGAGATGGAGGCCAAGGTAGTGGAACTGAAAACACAGCATGAAAAGGAGCTCTCCCATCTGGGTCAGGAAAACTATGTTCTTCAGAGTAAGGTACTTTATCATCTTGTATCCTGTGCCTATAGAAGAGAAGAAACATTGCTTCTGAAAATTGAATCAATATTACTTTAGATGAGGTGTTGATGAGGAGAAAATCCAAATTTACAGGCACCCTGTAATGCATACCTGCTGTTATATTTATTGCCAGTAAGACATGAGGTTTTTTTCCTGGAGATAAACCATGTTATCCTGAGTTCCCTTACTTTGCTATTTTGAGAGTCTTGCTGCAAGTTTTTGCAAAGATTTGATTCACTCCCACAGATACCACTTGTATGAAATATTCCCAGATTTATTCCACTATACCCTTTTGAGAATAACTCCCTGCATCATAACATACCCTCCTGTCTAGAAACATAAGAACAGAAACTTCTAGCTTTTCCCAAACATTTTATACCTTTTCTCTCTTTCATACTGCTTCTCCAATTAGAGCCACTTGTTGGTCTGCTCTGATACCATAATGAAGAGACCATGATCTTGTAGAAAAGTCCATGTTGCTAACAAAACTTTCTTATTGTTTGTGTGTCTTCTTCTGAAAGCTAAGAAGTATGGAAGAGATAACCCAAGAAAAGAGGTGGACCCATGCAGCAACAATTCCTATAACTGAGGAAAAACTGGCCCAAATACAAAAAGAGATTGAAGATCAAGAGGTCATTATTCAAGGTTATCAACAGGTAACACCACACATCATGTTGAACTGTGTTCTATTCAGTTTCAGAAACAAAATTGTTTAATGATTACTACTTTTCTATTGAAAACAGGTATTTTGTTTTCTAAAAAGGGGATGGAATTTGTGTGAAAGGCAAACATATTGCAGATTTAAATAGTCTTTCATACGTCTAGTTTGGACTAAGTTTTTCCACAGATCCATGTGAATGTTCTAAATTGTAAAAATCAGTAACTTTTCAGTTGAGAACTTTATGGTCAATGAAGAACCACAAACTTTTTCCCAAATGTAGCTGAAAATTAGTGCTTTTAATCAGTATTTGAAATCTGAAAAATTTTGGTTTTTAAAATGTTTTTCTCAAGATCTGAGCAGCAGATTTCAAGGTAACCTTAATAGCATGCCTGATTTGTATTACTTAGTCAAGTGGAGAAATAGATAATTCGAGCTTAATAATCCTTTTGAATACTTGCAGCTGTAAAATCCAGTGGGTAGCTCAACCAACTTCCAGCTGATGCTCAGCATGATTCCTTGATATAAACACAATGTCTTTCCAGTATGGCTGTGAGCATCCCAGACAATGGTGATTTGTGTCCCCAGGACCAGAGCATGGGCAGGCTGAGCTCTGATCTATCAACACTCACCCCTGAACACGTTTTCAGATTATAGTTGGGGTAGTTTATAGAGGATCTGTCTTAGCTCCTTCATGCAGAGTGAGCAGACACTTGGATGAGATTGTAAATAGTGAAAGTAGATAACCATTTTAGAAGCTCAGTAATTAAATATTCAGTGTTTTCTTCCACTGCTTCAGCAGGTAAACTATGTGATTCATAGAAAATTCTTCTATAACTGAAGAAAACAGTAATCTCTGAACTTTGTCTGTCTCCACTTAGGAAAATGAGAGGTTATACAAACAAATGAAAGAGCTACAAATCCAAAACAAAAAAAATGAGGAACGGATGTTTAAGGAGAATCAGTGCTTAAAGTCTGAATTAATACAGTTAAGGTAGGCTTATTTGCATATCTGACCTAAAATCTCTAGAATTTTCTGCTGGTTTTTTTTTTTTTTAAATGAAGAACCATTGCAGAGTCTATCAGGTGCATGTTTTCTAGTGTTTCTCAGGTTTGTGGTCTTGTTTCTTCTTTTGAGAATTGATTTGTGTTGATTATGGGCACTTAATTCTTTGTTTTCTTGATGGTGTTGCAAACCTGTGGGAAGACTGGAGACTTCCACTTGGGAAATATTTCAATGTTCTTATTCATATCAAAATACATAATACATTATGCTGCACTTGTTCTGATATTTTGGCTCTGCTGATGTTGTTAAGATGTTTTGATGCTGTTGTAAGATACACAGTAAATCAGGGGGCACAAGAGGTTCTGCTAGTGGAGAAACAATTCTATTCCCTGCATTGTAGGTCCTGTGAGATTTGTATCCTGTGCTAGTAATGAGGAAAAACAACCTAGCAATTGTGTGTACTCCTAATCTACAGATCTTTGCTATGGAGAGACCTGTAAATGAGTTCCACTGATGCAGGGTAGATTTTTATTTCCTTCCCTTGTGTAGTCCAAATAAACTAGTTCATGTGAGGTGAGAAGACTTGGCCTTACAGTGAATTTTGTTTGTGTATAAATATTGTGTATGTTTGTTTCTCTTTTCGTTTTGAACCTGCCCAGATTGACTGTGTGCTACAGTTTGGGGGGCACGGGGTTGTGTTTGTTTTTCAGTGGCCACTGATAGTATGCTGAATCACATTGCATGACTGCTTTTCTGTTGTTGTTTAGAGAAAAGATGGAGAAGATTAACAACCAATCACGAGTCATGCAGGATTCTGAACCTGGCAGAAATCAGAGTTTCACAGAATTGATTTCAGAGCTTCGAGTTGCACAGGTAGGGATATACCAAGCCTGTAAGATAACAGAGTGTAGTGCCTTTGCATGTAGCACAGAAATACAACTAATACCACTGGAAACACAAGGAGCAAGTGTGGCCCAATGCACACAGGCCTGATGTGGCCTGCTCAGCAGTTCAGGATAGGAGCTCACTAGCAGTAACATACCTACATGTACATGCCTAGACACTTGGTCTGTTTACTGGCTGCTCCCAAAATCTCAGCCCCCCCCAGCTGATTTTTGCTGTACCTGTGCATACCTAGGACCAAGGGGCTCCATCTCTAGAGGTGGCTCTGGCACAAAGACCTTTTGTCCTACTTGGTGTTGAAGTTTGCTAGTGTTCATGTGTAGCAAAAAGAGTAGCATTTTCTGTGTCTGCAGAAAATGGCAAGAAGTAGAATGTAGTAGGATGAACTGTTGGACAATACATTTGACCACTTATCCTACAGTCTTCAGTCTCAGAAGTAAGTCAAGCCATTTTCTTTACTGACCCTTTCAAAAGGCAGAGATTTTCTACTTCTATGACAGTTAAGTAAGGCTTAAAAAAATCTGGAGTTTGGGTTTTTTTAAATTTAAATTTGGGTTTTTTTTGGTTTTTTTTAAGTTTATGTTTTCCCATGGCCTTCTATTGCAGGGCCTGACAATAATACCAAAATTAAGATACCTTATTGTTGCTGTGGTCGGATGTAACTGTTGTGATTTAATCTTTGTGTGATGAAAAAGCATGCTCAGGGGTTTTGTTTGATATTATGTTTTTAGCTTTTCATGGTTTACTGTTTTTTTCTAAAATCTAGAAAGAAGAAGCTAAATTGCAAGAAGAGATAAGACGTCTAAAACAAGATAAGCAAGCTCTTGAGGTAGACTTGGTACAAGCCAAGAAAGAGAGAGATTTAGCCAAAGTCCAGATTGCATCTGCATCAAGTAAAGCACCTTCATTTTGTTGAATAATTTTGCTTACTTTGCATTTCAGTAAATAAATATGTAACAAAAACTTGTTTCTTATTAAAGTATTACTTGGTGAAATGCATCTAGACCATTTACAAATACTGTCTAAATTTCTAACAAAAGCATACAGTGAAGGACATGCTGCAATACTTTTGGTACTCTGTTAGAAAGTATCTTCCTGTATCCAACCAAACTCTTTGTTGTGACCTGTTAAGTTTGATTTCTTGCCAGTCTTTCACTGGATGTAGAAAAAAAAATATTTCAATTATGTGACAACTCTGTTCATAAGAAAAGATTTACTATGTTACATCTTAGTCCCCTATTTAGTTCTTCCCCATTTTTTACCTATAACTTACACCTTGGGACTTTTTTCAGCATTCTTATCAGAGATTTTTCCAGTTTGAATTAATGAGAGGAGGCTCAAAATTGGACTCTCCCATTTCCAGTGTCAGGCATCACAAATGTTAAGTGCAGTAATACTTACCTCCATGTCTCTTCTGAAAATGCTTGATCCCTAAATGGCAGGAGTATGATCAATAAACATCAAGGCATATATTCTATGTTGTCATTCATCTTGATGATGAAGGTCTGTTTATTAGAGCATGATCAATAACAGATCTCTCTGAAATTCAGTCTTAAATACTTTCTATAGTGAACTGTAAGCCATTGAGTACTGCTGTGTATGAGAAAAATAAAAGGGTTTTTACAAATACTGTTGCTTTTAAAATCCCAATTAGGATCTGGTTTTAAAATTACTTCAGTAACAGTGTTGTCAAAATGGTAAATGTATGAAATCTGCTGAGGAAGACAGTGTTGACTAATTACTTCTTCAATACATAATTACTAATAAAACAATTCTAAGAATGTTTTATTCTTGTAGGTGAGAAGTCTTATGAATTTAAAATCATGGAAGAATCGTACAAACAGGAAATTACTCATTTAAAAAAAAGACTTCAGTGGTATGCAGAAAATCAAGATCTTCTGGATAAAGATGCAGCCCGTCTTAGAGATGCAAGAGAAGAAATTGAGAAACTAAGACTAGAGGTGATAATATCTAGCTTTATGTAAGAAGTTGGAACTGAAAATTGTTTTTGTTTTTTTTTTTTTTCCAGTGATGACTGTAATGTACTTATTTCCTTCATAATAATTCTTTTTTTTGGTATATTAGATTGGTTCTATTGGACATCTTGCCGATGCTTCTGGGAACAATAGTAACATGCTTCCCTAAAACCTCTAAATTTCTTGACCTAAGGGAAAGAAGTATATTGTTATGTTAACAACCAGGAACACCCTTCTTCTCATTCTCTTTTCCTCCTTTATGCTCCATAGTAACTTAGGCAACACATTTTGTTTCTCTTAAGTACCAGTTCTAAATTATTTCTTAGGAAAAGCTCCCTGGTTACTGTGGCGGGGGGGAAACCCAAAACACTTGAAATCTAAACAAAACTAATACATGAATCTTGAATACTGATGAGATTTGCATTGTCTACTTGTCAGTACGTTAGACTTAGGATTCATTTAAAAAAAAAATTTACCAATGCTAAAATATAACTGATCTTGGAATCTTTTATGATCTTTTATTAGAGAGATCACAGATGAAAGGAAATGCTTCTGAAGGAGCAGCCAGAGACACACACCACCATATCTATCAACCTTTGTTCAAGATACCATTCCTGTGAAAGAAAATATTTTTATTGGCATTTTCTCTGGGCTGGACTGGTGTCTAAAAATTCTGGTACCTAGTGCTGTGACTTCATAGAAATAATCAAATCAGTCAAACTATAAAATGCTGGCATAAAAGCATGACTTGGTAATATTACCAATCTGGGAGAGAATTCACGATAGGAATATTTTTAAATATCCAGGGTATAATATCCTTGTACAGAGATCATAGTGGCTAATAAAGCTAGGAAATTCAATTTTAGATTTTAGCTTTAAGTCCTCGTGACCAGGCATCACAGGAATTGAGGAACATGAGTTAGCCAGGCCCTGATTCTCAGCTGGGACTCAGCTTTTATTTAGGCACAACTTAACATTTCCTTTTGGCTGCTTCTATATCTCATGACATAGTGTAGCATTGCAAATCACGAATCATTTCCTAAACTCATCCTGAAATCATGGAATGCACTTTATATGACAGCTTACTAATCAAGCCTGTATAGTGGTAGTATGAAAGAAAGGAGCAGTATTCCTGGTATAAAGACAAGAGTGTCCCAGAGCTGAAATTCTCTTTCAGATTTCCATATCTAGTTTCAGTTGCTTTGGAGAAGGAAGCTGTCATGGAGGTTTAGAGTCTGAAGAATCAGTTAGTACAGAAATTACCATTATGAGTTTTTCAATGGCAGCATACTTCCATTGTACTATGTGTGTTTGAAATGCTTTTGTACTACAGGACAATGTCTCTGAATATGTTTCAATTTGTTTTCTCATAAATTGGACAGGTTGAGAAGCTCAGAGCTGACACAGGAGATCAGTGTGTGCAACAGAAGAAACGTTTGCGAGACAGAGCAGCAGATGCTAAAAGAATTCAGGATCTTGAGCGACAAGTATGCAATAAAAGAACTCTCTCTCATTTAAACTTTGTTTCAGATAAAGTCTCTTAAAACCCCAGTGCCTTGATAAGGATAAAGCATAGCATGAAGTTCTGTGATAAAGTAACTTGTGTTATTAGACACTCATAAGCACAAGAGCAATTATTTACTTAGAATAAGTAAGTCTTCTAGCTACTATATTCAACAAGCTGGTATCCCTTTTAAAGTCTTTTAAAATAACTGTTCAGAGTTTCTTTAAAAGGGGCAAGAGGGCAAAGCCAAAGCTTGCTAAGACTCCTGTCCACATTCAGTAATTCCTTAACAGTATGATGAATTTCAGCCAACTTGACTCAAGAGTAGGGGTTTAAATTCTGTTGGATTCATACAAGATTCATGAAGACTGGGGGAGTGAAGACCTTAAAATCCATGTTTCTACTAAAAAAAACATCAAGTAGAAGTGAGCCTTCCTGAATTTTAGGAGGTAGCAGTTGCATTGGTTAGGGATGTGGGACTCATGGGCAAGAGCCTTTGCAGAATTCTGATATGAATATCTTATCTACAGATAAGAGAGGGACTTGTTATTAATGCTGCATGCAAAGTGTTAGTTTTACATGATTGCATACGATAAAATAAAAGACATATAATCTATTATTGGGAGAATAATTCCAATATTGCTATGAAATATTCTTAACAGTTGGAAAAGTAGAATGTGAATGCAAATCCAGGAAAAAAAAGCATATTCACAGCATTAAAAGCCATTCTCAAATCCCTTTTTTTGACTTTCTTTAGACTATTGATATAAGGTAATCTGAAGACCAGAGCAATATTTTATTTAAGATCATGTGTAAGTTAGTCAGTAAGAGACAATGAGTCTTGCTTTTCTGTAAACAAAACCATAAATGGGAGGAATATAAAATAATTCTCAATATATGCATCTATGGTTTTCATTCTTCCGCCTTAATGGAATTAAATTTGTTAACACTCTGTCACTTACTTTTGTTCCCTTTTCATTAGAACTTTATTATTTTTAACCTTTGACTTAATTTTCTTATGAATAGATCAGAGAAATGGAAGGAATTCTAAAAAGAAGGTATCCAAATTCTTTGCCTGCTTTGATTTTTGCTGCTGCTGCTGCTGAGAAAACGAATGATCTTTCAGCTAAAACAAACACAGTTGAATTTTTGGAGAGAAGAATAAAGAAATTAGAAACTGAACTTGAAGGTAAAGATGATGAAGCTAAGAAAAGCCTTCGTGCCATGGAACAACAGTTTCAAAAAATAAAGGTAAAAGTTGAGTAGTCCACCTTGCAAGTAACAGTCACAAGGCAACTAAGTGTAACACAGGGTAGTGGTTAAAACTGAAGGCAAAGACCACATTCAAGGGGAAAAAATTATTCAAAGAATTCAGAACCAGAATTTCAGTACCTTCAGCACCTAAGATAAATAAAAATAGCATTGAAATTGTTAGGGTAGTATTAAAATGAAGAGGACATGTTCTCAAGGCATAATAATTTAATTCTTACAATTAAGGTAAGTAGTTTTCACCCTGTGGGTCAGAGTAGAGCTGCTTCTCTAATTCCTTGTTGTACCAAAGTCTGTGATTTCAGAGGTCTGCTGACTGAGAATTTCTGCAGGGAACATTGGGAACCACTAAACATACTGTCAAAAAATTTCATGATAGTGAGCCTAAAGACTTCCATGTTAGGAAACATGGAAGTCTGGAATTTTACTTAAAGGAGAAGGTGAACTGCACAGGTGCTTAATGAGCAAGAAAAGAAAGAATTGGTCAGTTGTTCCACCTTTTCTCCACAAGTCACTCATCATACTTTCCTCAAAGGCCATCCAAGCTATTAAGAAGGTTAGGTTTTCCTCAACTCATTAGGAGGAAAGATTGTGTCTCTCTCTGAATTCATATTTCTTTCTTCATACTTAGAAATACATAAAAAGAAAGATCTGTTCTGTTAAAAATTAGGATGTTTTGAAAAATGTGAAATACAACTTTGAACATGTGACTTGAATGTTTGCCAGCATGTCATAAGTACATAATGACAAAATTAACATTGGTAGCATCTGAAGAGAACTCAATTACATAAAAATGAAATATTTTCTTGTCAATATAATTGTCTATCCTATAATTAGTGCATCCATTGTGATTAGATTTTTTGTAGTAAATTTTCCAAGTAATTCTGTTTTACAGCAAACTTAATTATTTCACTTGCTAATTTCTGAATTGATTGAGTAGTTTGTTAGTAATCCTGATTTGTATTTTGTCTTCTGAAGTCTTTCTTCAGAAGGGCAGTAACTTTAAAGAATAATAGGAATGGCTAATAATAACAGTACACTTAAGAAACTGCTTTTTTGTCCCTACTTTCTACTCCCCTCCTAGATACAGTATGAACAAAGACTTGCAGAGCTTGAGCAACTACTTGCCTATGAATTTATGAATGAAACACCAAAACTGAATGGTGATAAAGCCACTTCTGCAGAACTTGAGCAGGAGCTTCAGAATCTAAAGAAGACCCATCAGATCACTGTTGGAAACCTCCAAACAGAAATCGAAAATCTTAAAAGTCAAAATTCCCAATTAAAACTCAGAAGTAAAAATGATAATAAAGACTTAGAGTCCATGGACTCTAAAATGAAACAAGGTAGCACAAAAGACAGGTTGTTAAAATTAAATGAAGAACTGGTCACCAAAAATAGAGAAATACAAGACCTCACAAAAACTGTAGAGAAACTTCAAAAAGAAAGGATGGTGATGTTGTCTGATAATAATTTGAGAAATAAAGCAAACACTAATGGGAACTCTACAGAGGTCTTGAAAAAGAATACCTTAGCAACAGATAGAAGGAATTCCAACAACACTGAAGCCTGTCTAAGCATTTTCAATGATGACAAAACACACCAACCACTTACCTTCTCTGATTCTCATCTCTCGGAAGTTGTGCAAGAAAATGCCCATCTGAAAGAGGAGCTGGAGAAACTGTCCCTGGAAATGAGCCAGCAGCGGGTGAAGTCTCAGGCAGCACTGGCTTATTCTGAAAGCAACATGCGAAGGTAAATGCTCAACATATTCCTTTAAAAACCTCCTTAAATTGTTGGCAAACATAGGATTGAAGTAGCATATTAACATGTCAGCCATGTGTGAAGGTTGCTTATACCTTCATTTGTGCTGTTTCTAGCTTTGGGGGTTTTTTTGTTACTTTGGGGTTTTTTTTAAAGCAGTGCGCTGTCACAGTTCTTTCTACAGGCAAACCTATGTTAATGCTTTTATTAATGTTACAATTTCTTATGCTTTTAAGTAAAATGTCTCAGTGTAAATCATCGTATTTTAGATGCTTTGTGTTTTAATACTTGGTCCATGTTCTTTCCTTCAAACCTGGAGTGTGCTTCCAGTGGAATTAGCTAACTGTAGAAACCTTATACTTTACCTAGTCTCCCTTACATCCCCTCACAATCAAAGAAGAAATTGACATGCAATTTAGATTATAACACATTATTTTCTAAAATAGATATCTAAAAGAAGATAGCTGCATTATGATTAAAAAGCATGTGTTCTCTTGTCACTGTTTTAATAGGATGAACCAACAATGATTGACTGAATTTTTTGTATCCTAACTGCCTCTAATTAGATGATGCACATATCCACCACTGTAGGTTTCCCACCCTTTTCTCCTTTCAGAGCAATAGAAGTAATGGTGATCCTGTCTTGCAAGGTTTTGTTATGAAATATACAAGATATGCTGCCTTTACCAGTTTGGTTATTTTGTGTGTTCAAGTGAGAAGCTGCTGCATTTTTGAAGAACTGTCTGTATCTGCTTTACTGCATCTCACTTTTCTCTTGCTCTGTTCAGGATGCAGGAAGACACAGAGGAATACATTGCATCTCTGAAAGCCTCCCACCAGAGGGAAGTTGAGAAGATTGTTTGCCAGCATGCAAAGGAACATTCTACTTCTAAAGTAGCTGAACTAAAGAACAGAATTTCAGCACAGGAGGTAAGATACAGTAGATACATTACTTAGTAGATACATTACTTATCTATACTACATATAGATATATCTTAAAGTTATTTCTTTCTGTATTACTATAAACGTACTTTCTTTAAAGTAGGACCTATTGTTTCAAAAATCATCCTGTGCCACAGTATTCATAAAATTCCAGAATGGCTGAGGTTGGAAGGGACCTCTGAAGGTCATCTTCTCCAACTGCTCTGCTCAGGAAGATCATCCAGGACCATATCCAGGTGGCTTTTGAGTATGTCTAAGGAGGGTGATTCCACCACTTCTCTGGGCTATTTTACACATGGTATAAAGGGTAGAAAGAGCTGTTTCATTCAGATTATTTAACATTTAAAAATGAGGAAAGTAACTTGAAGATTGAGGCTTGTTTTCATGTACTACATATGTACCTATGTGCTATTTAACAGCCCATGCACACACACATGTTGGAGGGCAGTGTTGTTAATGCACACAGCACTTACACCTGCAGTGCTACAATCACAGAAACTTAGGATGTGAAGGGGTTGGAATGGACCTCAGAGATCATTGATCATACTTGTGATCATACTCACAAGCCCCCTTGCCCTGGGCAGGGACACTCCTACTAGAACAGGTTGCTCAAGGCCTTATTCAGCCTGGCTTTGAACAGTGCCAGGTTTGTGGCATCCACAGCCTTCCTGGGTAGCCTGTTCCAGTGTTTCATTACCCTCACAGTTAAGAATTTCTTCCTAATATTTAACCTAAACTTCCTCCATTTTAATGTGTACCCATTATTCCTTGTGCTATCACTACAGTTCCTGATCATGAGTCTCTCTGGTCTCCCTGTAGGCCCCTTCAGATACTGGAAAGTTGCTATGAGGTTTCCACACAACCTTCTCTTCTCCAGACTGAACAGCCCCAACTTTCTCAGTGCTGCTTATTTTTTTCTGTACTTCTCCTGCATTGGTTTTCACATGTTGCCATGGGTGTGTATGCTAATGACAAAAGATTTTTAAACCTTTTTTAGATATTAATAAAACATCTTCAAGAACAACTTGGTGAACAAGAGAGACGTCAAGAAGCTCTTCTAGTTTCACAAATAAGAGAACAACTTCTACAAAAAGAGGTATATTTAAATTTCAATGGGGATACCTTAGTCTAATAAGGGTTTTCATCATAATTCATGTCAAGCCTGAAATAATATGTAGTAAAATAAGTCTTAGAAACAAAATCTTTGTCAGTTGCTTCTACATCAATTATCCCTGAGAATGCAAGGTTTTTCTAGTGTGAACAAGAGAACGACACAGAACAGAATGCAAAACTTTGACCTTTTTTGATGTTAATATTTTTATTATTATTTTGTTTGAAATGTCTGACATCTGTATGAAGTTTGATCAGTAGGTTAACCCAGATTTTCATATCCTCTGAGAGTTATGCTGGGTAGTGGTAAATAGACCACAGGACTTTTTCTTTATTCCTCTTAATTAAGAGGATTTTTTATTACTGTTTTCAAAAGTTTTTCTTTTTTCATCCTCCATTGCCATAAAACTGACTTAGGCAGTTACATTCTTGGCTTTCTCCTCTGTCTCTGAAACTTAATGTGTCTTAAGAAAGGAGAGCTAGCTATAAAAGTTATGAAATTCAATGGGTTTTGAGAGAAGTATATTGGCTGTTTTTTTCCTAATCTTCTACTTCAATCAATAGCAAATAATCTAAAATTTACACTTGTTCTTATCCTTGCATTTGGGTTAATGTTGGATCAAATTGGTGTCCACCTTTTAGCTCAAGCTTTTAGAATCACTAGCTATGCATTTGTTGTTCTTGAAGTAGTGCCAGTCTTTGTTGCCATTTCCTGTTCAGGAGGATGTAGTCTGTCTCAGCATTGTGCCTGTGCTTCATTCACCATCTCCCTGATGTATGAAGATCATTAATTTTAATTTAATGTTGATAATACTCTAACTTGCAAGGATTAGTAAAAGTGATTAATCTTAATTTTACTAAACTCAGACTTATCTGGGTATTTATCTTACACATGGAAAATTCCACCTCTGTTGTGAAGTATTTCTATAAAACTGTGGGTTTGTAGGGGGAGAAAAAAGATGTCCTATTAAACAAGTTGTGTTTAATTATTCTGTTTGCAGAATAGAGGCTGAGACTTTGGGTTCATATAGGTGTTGGCTTTCCTTACAAATCTTTTTTCATTCCAGTGGTGTCAGTATATGTAATACTTCTTCCTGGAAAAACAGAGCAAGAGTACAATGAGATAAATGTTGTTGTTTCCTCAATGACTGCTTTACAGGTTTAAGATGGTTTAGGAGATCATCCAGTCTCACCCACATGGTAGAGCCAACTTCAAGGTGCTGGTATTTAAGAAAATGTAAAGGAGTGTCTTTGTTACAGAAATCATTGCAAGACTGTACAGAGAGAAATATCTATGCCTTGCTTTTGCCCTCTAGCACAACTTCTGTACTGCTTTTAAAATACATCTTTAGCATTAAAAGGTTCAATAAGTTTTGCTGAGAAAAGAAGACTACCAGACCTGCAAATGGAAATAGTAGTGACAGGGGAAAGCACCTCAGTGGTAATAGGATGGAGTCCTGTGTCTAAAATGGTGGTACATCCAAAAAGGCAGTTTTTCCTGAGGCTTCTTGGAAGATTCTTATTTGAATACTAATCTCAGAAATGCTGTTCATGGATGTTTTCCATTAACTGAGTGCTTCCTTTCCTTAACAGCTTGCACATAGCACTGCATTGTATTTGACGTGGTTCTGTCGCTGGCAAAATACACAGAGCCTCTTTTCTCCTGGGGCTTTTTTCCCTTCATGAGATCTTTCCACTATGATTTTTTAATTGTGTTTAATTATATACTTGAGACCACACATCAGCCCTTCCCTTTAGCAGCCAAGCAGCAGACATTCATTTGCTCAGATCATTTGAAACTAAGACTTCTGCTCCTCTGAAAAATGTGGCTGAACAGTTCAAAACTGCTGGAGTAATGGACAAGAAAAAACATCCTGACACAGGCCTTGTTATTTTAGAAAGCCACCTTGAAATGTTTAAGTAATAGTAAGCTGCCTCAGAGTCACTTCTCAGTAAGAGTGATAACATCTTATGAGGACACAAAGCTTCCAGCTACCTGAATTCACAGCAGAGAGGCAAGGATGACTGAGTGCTTGAAGAGGGGTAGCAGCTCTCAAATATATTGGCTAAGGGAAGCTAAGGACTATCATAAAGATGTCAAATTTGTCACTTTTGTTTATTTATACACATTAAGAGTGACCAAAAATACTTTGGATGAAGGAATATCAAGTTACTTAGAACAGGCAAAGAATGAGAATAAACTAGTAGGGCTTTGTAAGAAAACTTCCCTGAATTTCTGGAGGATTAGGAAATCAGTTTTAAGTCATTGTCAAGTTATTTTACTTGGTAATTATTAAGCTTACATTAAGCAGGCTTGTAACATCTCTCTTAGCAGCATGTCTAATTAATTTAGTCCTTAGAAATACATTGGCATCTTTTATATTTGGTCTTTATCTTGGGTGTGAGAAGGGAAAGTGTAAGAACATCTAATCATAATATTCTCTGTTAACTTTTGTTGTATGAAGTAAAAAACGTGACAGAACACAATCCCTTCATAACATTATTAACAGCACCAGATTTATCAAAGAGGACTAGACTTTAATGTCCTCAAGCTGCTTCTTAGAAATGAAAAATCCTAAGTCCCTGAGTCCCTGTTAAAGCTTTTGAACAAAGGAGATTTCTCTTTTATGTCTTCCTTTCTACAGCTTTTGAATGTAACAATTAAACAATGCAAATATGTTTTTAAGGAATCTGGTATATACACTGCCTAACACAATTATAACAATTTTCATCAATTCTCTTTTTGACTGTAGGTGACAAAATTGTTGGAAGAGCTGAGAGAGGCTAGGGAAAGCCAGAGTCCTGAAATGAAACATTTCTTGTGCCTGGAAAAGAAAATCAAGCATATAGAGAGCAGACATGCAGAAAGAGAGCATGAAATTCAAAAGGTACACCAGTTCATAGCTGCATTTACTTCTCAAGAGCAATTTATTGGTTTAACTGTAATTTTATGGTATTTATTCAGGCTTATTTAGCTCACACTGCAGGAGGAAAGTAGTTTTTATGCAGCCATGGTTTTGTCTTTGCCTGCTAATGCAAGTGAGTGTAGGTGCTGGCCTGGTCAGCTCGACCCTGCTGTATTAATTAAGATTACTTGGGTAACTGCCTTGCAGCCTGGTCTGAGAAGGTCTTGGTGTCCCAGAGGGTTGGACTCCAGACAGACCTTTGGAGTCAATATCATTATTTCATGCTTCAGTTTCACAATGAAAGCAAGCTACTAAAAACTGACAAGAGTTTGGAGTGCAGAGTCTAACCTATGATATATTCCTCAATGGAACTGTGAATATATAGTCCGTGCAGCCCTATTCAGGAAAGCTACACTGAAAGTATAGTAATATCTTACTTTATTCTAAATTTTAAAACCATATCTCAAGGAATATGCTTTTAATATACAGATTTTTTTTTTGCTGTAGAAGGATTTCTTCTTGTACATTGCTATATCAGATACTTATTTTCTTTCAAAAAAGACCCATGCATAAAACAAGTCATTGGATTAAAAATAAGTCCTGTTGCCACTGGTTTTTTTTTTGTTATGTTTGTTCACATTCTGTCCTGCTAAAGGTGACTGTAATACAGTTCATTTTTTGCTATTAATTTGCTTTTATATGATGTGAGGATGTCTTTACCATTTCTGTGAAGTGTTTGCTTCTGCCTATTCTGTGATCTAGCTCCACTGAATACCAATAGTATTTGCTAAGATGTTTTGTCATGTTTTGGGCTTTTTTCAAAGAAGTAGTAGTATACATCATTAGTACTAAATTTAATCTTTTTGTAGTGTTTCTGCCTTGTTATATATTAAGCTTTGGGTTTTGATTTGTCCCAGTTTTTCTCCTTTAACCATCAGTACTGGGGCATTGAACAGTTGCCCAAATGAATTATATCAAAATGAATAGTGTTGAAAAGGAAATTGCTGAGCATGAACTTAACAGGTTATGCTTAGTATCAAACTGCAAATATGATAATTATGGCCTTTAAGTGGTAGGCTCTCTTTAAATGATCTATTACAATTAATTGTGGTGTGGAGCTTTTGATATCTTATGACACTTCTTATGTTGTGTAACATAATAGGATTATGCCAGGGATTCATGTTAAAGTTATTCAGACCTTTGCCTGCAGCAGAATCAGATCTTTGTGACTACAGGACATTTTCTGATAATTCATAGAACTTGTGGTTTTTAAAAGTAGAGTAGTAGGCTACAACACGTCATTCAGATTTACTTTGTTTTGCAGAGCATTATTTTAAATACCACATTTAAGTGGAAATTTAAAAAGTTAATTTTAATTTATAGAGGGTTTCATGTTATATGCTCAGCTTTGCCTTAAATATTCAAATTTAATTGCTGTTTTGGAGAGGGTAAATTAAATTCTCCTGGGGCTCATTAATCAATAATCAATTCTACCCTTCTGTCATTAATGCAAATATTTAAAGGAATTCATTGCTATCAGAATGATTTTTGTAATATTCAGAACAAATTGCTTCCACTTTATGCGAGCATTCAGCTTTGAGCATCAGATAAAATGATGTGGCAGATTTTTACAAAGTGGCAGCACTGGCTGAGTATTGGCATAGGAAATCACAGTGCTTTCTTCTAATTTGCAGGCAAGCCAACTAAGACAGCACATTTCTGAAGTAAGGCAAACCCAGGAGGTTGAGAGGTGGCGAAGGCTGGCCCAGGAGAAGAATCAGGAGCTGGAGAAATTTCGAATGGAGTTGGATTCAATACTCGATGTTTTACGTGAACTGCAGAAACAAGGGGTTGTTATTCCTGCACCTGATTCCAGTGGATTCAGAGTGACAGGCAGCTGTTAGAAGACATGATTAGGTAGTAGCTAAATAGAGCAGCAGAATTTTAATATTCAAAGTTGTGTATAGAAATGCTATTGAAAATCATTATTGCGACATGTAAATTGCATTGTATTCTGATTTTCTCTGGAATTTCTCATGTCCAGAGGCAGATTTGCATTGAGCAATATTCTAGTCATACTGTATGTCTTCTATTTTATTAGTAATAAATTTACATAATTTTTTAATAATAGGAATATTGAGGTTATTCCATTAATTCAACTACCATTGAAAAATTTCCTTTTTCACAGACTGTAGAACATGCCTGAATATTTTTAAGTTTGATTTCTAACTTGTCTTATAGTGATTCCTTTGTGAAAATTTTAGTAGTAAGCTGTTCGGTTATATAGCATTGTTGTATAGCATTGATGTATTTCATTTTTTACATTTCATTGATGTATTCATTTCCATAGGTCAGGAAAAGTGTATTTTTCCAACATTTGCTTCTCTCCCTCCAATTCATATAATATTCCTCCCCTTGAGACCTCTTTCCACTTTAGTGAATGATTGGAGGGCTGGAACAGAGCAGGCATTCCTGATGGTGCTCACATTCAAGCTGTTCTTTTTTTCCTTTTCAGATTATTCCAGCTGTGCTGGTAAGATTGATGGCAGAGTGGGTCTGGCTGAATTCTTACAGGGCAGATACAGAAAAAACCTATAAAATACAGTGTGAGTGTAGTTATTGGTGTCCCTTTTAAAAGGGAAGGCTGTACTGATAAGGTTTTTACAGTGGGCTGTTCAGATCTGACATAGTAAGTACCTCTGTAGGTGATCTTGACAGGCTGAGAGACCAGTCAGATGTGAAGACAGTGGGCTAAAGCTCAGATTTCAGGGATGTGTAGGTGGGGAAATTTCAAGTTAAAATATTTAGCAAGCTAGGAAAGGGGCCAGGGGAAAAAGAAAGAAAAAAAAAAAAAAAAACAGAAAAGGAAAAAAAAAACCAAAAATACCCAACCGAAAACCAGACCAAAACACCAAACATGGAGGTAACTTTCTGCTGAACTGACAGGCATCATGGCAGGTAATAGCCTGAATGTTAGAGGCTGTTGCTTTCTCCCTTTCCTCAGGCCCTGCCAGTTACACACCTGTGCTGTAGAGCTGGTACATAGAGCAAATCCTGCTGCAGCACAAATGTGTAGCTTAGGGTGCTACACTTTTGCTCTCTTCTTTTAAGAAGGAGATGGACCCAGTGGAGGGAAAGAAGAATCATCACTCCAGGAAATGTAGCCCAAGGAACCTGTGAAGCCATAGGCACTGCACTACTCCAGAGAGGAGCCTGGGGGGAATGATGAGCATGGCTATTGCACTTAACATATGTGAAAAACCTGCTGCTAAAAGCAAGCAGCAAATACAAATAAAGGAAATTTAAAATAGATGGTGATAACTATTTGGTGGTTGGAAGGCATGCTTTCCCAATAAATCAGTACATTATTAGTTTGAAGTTTCAGTGGCTGCAAGTCCTTAAGAATTCCCAAGCACGTATATTGAGGTTGTATCTCAATCAACTCTACTTATTTAGGGCAAAGAGAAGATGAAAGCTAGACTGTACTCCTTGGGTCCCTGAGGACCTGCAGTATTGGTTGAACCTAGCATTTAAGTCAGTTGTGAAATAGTTCAGGTCTGTGCTTGTCTGTTTATATATTGCATTCTTCAGGGACCAGAAGTAAACCTGCATTTTCTCTCATACAAGCATGTGGCATAGCATGCATAAAAAACAAAAGAGTATAACAAATTGTACCATATAGACATAGACAGTGCTTAAGTGCAAGGTTTTTTCTTTTTGGGACATACACAAACATAAAATGAGCCTGTATACACATATATATAGATATTTTTAAAGGGTGGTCAGTTACCAGTTAATGTGGTAATCTTCATTGTTTCATGTTCAGATATTGTCAGTATTTTTATTTTGTCCCCATCTAACAAAGTATTAGTCTACATTCATAAAATGTGTAAATATAAAAATGTTTTGTATATAAAATATCAGCTATGTGTAAATATAATGCATTTTCTTGATTTGGGTCTGTTTTGCAAATGAAAAGGATAAAAATTGAATCATTTCAACTAATTTATTTCCTGTATAATTTGCTGTATGTGTAGCACTGTATTAAAGTGTGTGACCTGAAGTGAGAGATGTTTTTTTCAACTGCTGCAAGCCTTGTGTTCTCAGAGAGGCCAGGTCCTGGATGGGGGTTCCTAGGACAGGAATCCTAGAGGAAGCATTTCTAGTTAGGGAAGCTCTCTCATGTGTATGGTGCTTAAGTCTGCTACAGCAGGTTGCCCTAATGTTCATGCAGTTCATTCAAACACTTTTTACAATTCTTACAGTCAGTTCTCAGCAATTGCTGTTTTCTTACGTAGCTGGAATTAAATTCTCTCTCTGACTGTGTTTTACTTGAGCAGGGATAGTGTTATTTACCATTACTGTAAGCTATCAGATGGTTAATACCATTTTCCTACAAGTAATTATGCAGCTGTACACTCACTGAAGCATGGTCTTCATTTTTTTAAGCATTCACCATGAAGTGGTCCCTCTGCACAGAAACAGACTCTCTGGGCTTCAGTGGCTGCAGTTAGGGTTTCCTTTTAGAGAACTAAGGTGCAAGTTTTAACTTCTAAAGTTGTTACTGACTCTCTGAGGATTTCAGTGTGATCTTTCAAGGAGTTACATAATTATATACTCCTCATGTATATTTTTCCTCTTCTTGTGCCATCCTGTTTCATCATGCATTTCCAGCAGGCATAATGGATGGATTTAAAGAATTAAATGTAGTATCTTTAAAACATTGCCTAATGCTTAGCTGCACTTCATCTGTCTACAGCAAAGCAGCTAGAGTATAATAATTTGAATTGTCCTGTTTGAAGTTTTTAAGAAATCATGTGAACAGCTGGCTAGGTGACTCAGTGACCTAGACTGCTTCAAGAGAGGAAAATGTGATGTGCAGAAAAGGATCAGATTTCACCATGGCACTTGGGGCAGAGACAGCAGCAGTGTGTTCCATTTCAAGTTCTCTGAAATACATGTCAGAATTGTCCATGTAACAAATCAAATAAGTTATTGTGAATGAAGACTTTATGTGATAGCACATAATACATTTTCAAGTCTGCCCCTCTATCCCATATTTAACCTGTTCTGGAAAGTACAAGGAAAAAGGACAAATAATACCAGCACTAGCTGTGCAAAGCCACTGCTGCAGGGAATGAGGGGCTCATGTATCAAGTGCTGCCCTGACTCTTGAACAGAAATCCAGTGATAAGTCTGAATTGAAAGTAGCTCTTCATATAGCTAAGCACATATCTCTCATCCAAAAATAAGAAAGCACAGGCCTCTCTTGCTCTCATTGGAGAATGTGTGGTAGAAGGTTCTTCTCTGCTGTCCTTGCTACCTGTCAATATCCAAGGCTAAAAATTGGCCTAAAATGTCAATGTTACAGTACTCAAGGTTAGGGCTGAGGTGCATAAATACTTATTTTTATTACAAATGTACCCTGTTTACTTCACCTGGTAGTCTCAGAGACTGAATGGCTCTGGCTTGTAGTGGAGACAATCCCAGTTGTACCATTCTCTTTCTCTTGTCTATGAGCAGGCATTTACTGATTTTACATTACAGGTTTTGGGGTTTTGCCTTTTTTCTTTTTTTTAATACACAACTAAAGCTTGTTTATATAGAAGATCATTTTGCAGGTACTTACCTTTGAAAACTGGGATAAATAACTTGACATGGTAAGTTCTTCCAGAATACAAGACATGTTTAGGCAAACAAACATATATAGCTGGCTTAGAGGAGCTATGTCTCTGCAGTTAAATCTGCTGCAGCTGATGCATTTGTACTGAGTTTTGAGAAGGGGCTTGAGGCCAAGCACTAAGAAAACTCACAAAAATTCCATTTTCAAACACCTTTATATTCCAAGTACTCATTTTGAAGATTACTCTGATTAGAACACTTTCTATTCTGTTTCTAGTGCATCAATGAGTTGATTTTCTGAGAAGAGATGAATTTTTTTTAAACAGGTTATATATTGCCCTTTCCCCTGAGGCAAAATATATCTGTTTTTATTTAAAAGGGAAAAAAAAGGAAGGACAGCCTTAAAATAGCTGCTTTTGAAGACTGCAGAACATTTTTGCATTTGCCTTTGGCTCTGCTTTGAGGCAGAGCAAAAATCTGAATCAGACTATTGCTGCCACAGTGTCTCTGGAGTGGTGTGGGAGCTCTACAGTGGGAACTGACAGGTTATTTTTCTGAGAAAAGCAGCATGAAGGACTTTAAATATAGAAGGGAGATAAGATGAAAAAAGTCGATCTGTCATCAGGAAAGAACAGAAGCAGGAACCAAACACTTAAATAGCTCTACAGGATTAATACATGCTGCAGAAGGATATTAATTGTGCAGTTCAAATGTGTTGTAAGTTAAGTTGGCATCATCTCTGGGTCATTTTATCTAGTACCTTTCATCAGAATGCTTCCTTTTTCTCCCCAAAGTAGTAGTTTTTTACCCAAAGAAAAGCCACTGAGATTTAAGGTAGCAGAAGAAAAGCATTGGCTAGCCTACAGGGAATAACAGCATTTTCTTTTTCTAAAACCCCATCTGCATTATTTGGAAATTCCTGAAACTTTTGAGAATTTTTTCCCCCCAAGGGGGTGTGGAGCAGTGGAACAGACTGCCTGGGGCTGCAGTGGAGTCACCATCCCTAGAGGCTTTTAAAAGCCTTGTGGCACAGGGTGAGATGATTTAGATGGGGACTTGGCAGTGCTGAGTTAAGGGTTGGACTTTATGATCTTAAAGGTTTGTTTCCAACCTAAATGATCTATGAAATGTAGTTTTAAATGGCTTAAAAATACCTTTCATTTCTCTGTTGCAAAGGACATGGATTCCACATAGATTTGCCCTTCCTTCAAGCAGCATTGCTGTTTTCAAGCAAAGGAAAAAATAAAATAAAAAGAATAGCTCAACCATCCAGAAATCAGCTACAAAAACCCCATTTAGTACAAGTCCCACAACATGTTAGCAAGAACAATATTGAGCTTCAAAGTTTAACCATCAGATAGCTGATAGTTACTGAGGTGCCTCAGCAGGAAGTAGTGCCATATTCTACATCAGAGACAGATTTCCCAAATTTAGGAAAAGGAAAGTCCACACCTACAGCCTTCATAGTTGTAGTTATGTACTTCCTGTGAAACAAGGCCTTTTCTGCACTGGAGACATTTTACTGGAGCTGTGCTCATTCAGACTGGGTTCATTTCAGTCTTAGGGAACTATTTTCAGCAATAACCTGCTAGTCTTAAAGAGTCTCTGCTTTGTTTTAAGTGTAATCCTGTTGCTTTAAACACTAGCAAGTCCTGCAAAAATCAAATTTGAAAACAGGAAATTGTGCTGTGAGTGGTGTGCAATTAGGGCACAGGACATTAAAACAAAAAACATTTCCTTGTACTCTTCCTACACAATTTGTATTCCTTAAATGCTCAACCCAGTACTCTCAAAAAAAAAAAAACTTAATTCCATCTCTAAAAAAAAATAAAGATTGAAACTATACATATTCAAATCCTTACCAAATCTTTCACTAGAGAACAGTTGGGGTTGCAACACTAGCCCAGCTGAGGACAAAAAGAAGATGGAGCAAGCCCAGCTTAGCTGTACTTTTGGAGTTGGTCCTCTCAGCTCAAAGCCTGCTAGCACTTCAGTGGCCAACAAATAAAGAAATGACCTTTTATAAAGGCAAAAAGCATAGGAAGGTTCAGCCTGTTAGCAACACATGACACCAGCTTAACATACCACCATCATTTGCATGTAGTAACTTTATTGGCAGAAGAAAAATAGGTTTTCTCTTATTTCCTGTGATTGAGCTACTGAATCCTGTAATTACTGAACTGGGAGTTCACATCAGCAACTAGCAGGAAGAAAAAAAACAAAGAGTCAAATCACAGTTTGTGTTTAGAATTTGTGGGCAGCTGCTGAGGTGTCACTCTGAAGTATAATTATAGGCACCAATTTGTTTTTACTCAGCAGCAGGTGGTGATAGCATTTTGTAAACACTGTAACCAAACAATTTCACTTGCAAGGTATTCCCTCTGGAAGCTTCGTAAATTGGGTTTAACCTGCACCCAAAAGCAGTTAGGGATCAGAAACTGAAGTTAGTCCCAAGCAGGTATTTATTGTGGTGTTCAGCTTCAGGCATCCTTATTGGGAGCAGCAGAATCTACAGAACATCCCCAGGGGCTGTTTATTCCTGTCTTCTTTGAGATTTACACTCTTCTTGGCCAATGAATTTTCACAGACCTCCCAATGCCAGGCTCAGCCTTCATAGTCCTTGTAAATTATTATCCTTCAGAAGCTGGTCATAAGTAGTTGTTTAAAAATGAAGAACAGTGCAAGAAACAAACAAAAAAAAATCAAAAATAATACTGGGCAGAAGTTTTAGACCACAGAAGGCATCAGAATAAAGCATTCAGTGTCTTACTTCTTGTCTAAACTGAGTTCTATCAGTACAGCCAGTCTTACATACAATAAAAAGCACAGGTCTGAAATGCTTTCTGTCAAAAGAGCAGGAGGCCAAGAAAGGCTTCAAACTGGACAATAATGGGGATGTTTACCTTAAAGGACTTTTCAGTCAAGGATCCAATGTTAAGATTGCATAACCAGTTTGCTTTATAAAATGATTGGTGGCTCTGAGATGAGGAGATCATCCTCACCTAATGAAGAGTTCTGCTCAGTGTTCACAAAGTTAGGAATGTTAAATTTTGTAAGACAATGTAGGTCTTCCTCAAACATTCCACTGCTCTTGGGAACCTCCTGGAAGTGGGTATTACTCTCCAGACTTGGACCTTTCTGGCTCTCTTTTTCTTTGTTCATATGGTCCACTTCATTAATGCAGAAATGGAAAAGAGACTGGGATTCTTCAGCCATTTGCTGAGAAAAGACCCTCTCAGACTCCAGAGGTCTTCCAAATTCTGCCACAAAGCTGTTCATGTGAAATCTTTTTTCAGAAAGTTCTGCATTGCTATAGAGGAAAAAGAAAAATGCAGTAAACACAAAAGTAGAACTATTTGAGTTCTAATCAACTAGTTTGGTTTCAGGAACCATTATGATCAGGAGAAAAGGAAACCACACAGTTTCTCTACCACAGACTTTTAAAGCCAGCACTATTTATTATTTTCAGCTGAAGCAATTTTAAGTCTTCATTTGTCATGACAATTTTCCATGGGAATAAGTTAATGCCAGCACTCTTAAATGGCACTTCTAGTAATCAGTAGACTGTAAGAATCACCTCACTGAATGGGTTTATAGACACTCTTGCTTTCAAGTAGTAACAATTGTTTTAAATGGCTCATAAGAACAGTTTGAGAAAAGTCCTTGATAGACAAAATGTTTCTGAGGCACAGGCAGCTCTGCTCTCACTGAGGGCATTGAGTGCTTGCTTGTCCAGACATCAAACCATCTTTCCCACTGACTTCAATCAATGACATTCAGATTTCCAAATTAGGAGAGCTGGAACTAAAGACTGCTTTAGACACTGGCAGTCTTAACAATCCCAGCAGCCAGGAAGGATAGTTTAACATGTTTTTTGGCAGTTTTCTTTATAAATCTTAGCTCAAACCAGCACCAATCTGCATGGACTCATGCAGGTGCCATTTGCAGCTGGGGGTGAGAAGAGCTCAAGCTAGACAGCAGTTCTACAGATTCATTCTTTGTCAGGATGAATTTATATGCTGTCATCACAAAATGCAAGTTAGTTGCATTTAAAGGCAGTAGAGGTATTCAGAGAATGAGCAATGAAACATGTTCTCAGAATTATGAATTTTTTTAAGAACTAATATGTCATACTGTTTACATCTGGAGATGTAGCAAATGATGCTGGAGTCAGATAATTGGACACCTAAAGGTCCACCCAGCACTGAAGAGTTTTTCAGTGAAATTTCATTTCCTCAAGCCTGCAGCAGGAGATAAGTGCCTCAGATGACACCTTCAGAAATCCACCCACTGGAATTTTCACAGGATACCTACCATTAGTCTTTCAGGCACAGTTAAAGATCCCTGCTTCTCAAAAGCTGATTTACTTCCATTACATGATGGGGGGATTCTGTCCTCACAAAATCACTTCCACTAGCCTAGAAATCAGAGCAGTTCTCTAGTTTGTCAAAACTGTATCAGCTCACTCAGCATTTCAAAGTGAACCAGGTAGAAGAATAATGTTCAATTGATGTAAGACTGACCAGTAACCAAGTAATAATCTACTGTATACACAGCAGGGGCAAACAGCCTGGAATAATTCTGAACTGACAACTGACATTTATGTATTTAGAATGCAGTAAAAAGCACCACTCTGAGTTTAAGTTTCATATATAATTTGGCAAATTGCCTGTGTTGTGGCACAGGTGGTAGAAGTGGAAAACAAGCACAGAAAGAAGGACAAGCACTGTAAGGCCAGGAAGAAGTGACTGCAGAAGAAAGTTTAAAATTAACCCACTGCAGGAGTAGAATTATTTCATAGGTGTGGAAAGTGCTTTGTAATCCAGTGAAGTGTGAAGGAGCAAAGGCTGACCATGCAAAGGGGCACACAAGACAGGCAATGACAACCTAATCTTAATGGAGGATGCAAATGAATTTTACAATGCCCCAGAATATTAAGGATCTATGATGAAGCCTAAACCTGGGCTCATGAGCAGGGAACACATGATCTAATATACAGTGATATTTTTGGATTTCAAAATTCACAAACACCATCTTTGAATTTCAGAGTGGAATTTTATTACATTTTTTTTTAATGTAGACTAGAAACTAGCATAGTCTTGCTCATTACAATCTGCAATAATTTCTCAGCAGCTATCTTTTCAGCCCACTCAAGAAAAGCAGCCTCAAAAACCCCAGGTTTACTTAAACAAGATAACTGATTTCTTAAAAAAAAAAAGTTATCTAACATTTACTGCTTTGAGATTACACCAGCCATTATTTTGTACAAATAGGTTGCATGATCTCTTGCATTTGTTGCACAAATGTGCTCTAAAGGATGTGTTCAAATGCAGAAACAAATGCATGCTTTCCTCTCCTAGTGATGAATAAGAGCATTTTTTGGAAATTCAGATATTGCCAAAATTTTTTTTTCAGTTGCATAAGGTAATGTTCCACACATACTCATACATGCAAGGAAACAAAAGATAAATGCAACAGACATAATTTCCCTAACTGATTACATTTCTTCCAGTCCCCATCCATACCCTGTCCATTCTGGTTTGAGAATGTACCTAATTCTGAACATCTTGTGTAATTTTGAAAAGTACATCCTGTCATGGCCTTTTATATGTAGCCAAGAAAAGCATACTACTAGGAAAAAAAAAAAAAATTCAGAGTATTCTACTTTGGATCCATCCATCTGAGCCCAGATACACCTAATCTCTCACATTAATGGTACTTTAAAGAGCAGCCAAATAGCCCTCCTGAAGTCAGAGACCTGGGAATCCTGTTAACATCTATTTTCTATTTTCTAGGAGGGCTCAAGGCAGACCACTAATGAAACACCAAGCCATGAACAATCCAGTCAGGCATGGAAATAGAAGATGCAGGCAAACCAAAACAAGTGGTTTTACAGGTAGCTGTTCTCCAGTTTTTATACACATGTATCAAAAATAAGAGAACCCAACTGTATTCACTGCCCTTAGCATATTCCCAGAGGATGCATGTTCAGTACCATGAGAATTTCATTACCAAAATGTCAAAAAAACTGCTCAAATTTGTTAAAGGTGCCAGCTCAGCATGCATGACAAGTGGGCAACTCAGGCACACAGCTCCCAAAGCTGCAAAGAGATCTATAACAAATATAAAAAGGAATAATTGGTCTCACTCCAGCAACTGAAGAAAAATTATAAATAGGTGTAGAACAGAAGGGATTTCTGGAAGTCTCAAGAAAAGCAAGTCTGAATTTGGATTACATTATCTGGATGTAGAAGATGACCAAAGGTGGACATTTCACAAACTCTCAAGGACACTGTTCTGAGAAAATTGAAGAAAAAAGCAGAAAAAAGTGGGAGATATCAAGCAGGCCTCTGCTACATGAAAGTAAATTTTTACAAGTGTAAAAATTTTTGGCAAATATCCATATTAAATTCTCTCTATATATGTATTTTTAACTTCATCACTTTTTCCCCTCTCAAATTGTCCACATGGGATCCAGACTCATGCTCAGCTAATAAATGAGATCTTTGTGAAAAGGAGGCAGCACACCAACAATTACAGGGATTTTGAATCTGTTTGGGAGCAATGTCTGGCTACTTCATAACAATCTGTAGAGGAAGGAAAAATACCAGCACATCAGTTCTGGTAAGCTGGATTCTTCTGAATCCAGAAGATATAAATATATATATATATTTATATATAGGATTTATATATATTATTTATATATATAATATATATATTATTATATATTTATATATATATTATTTATATTTATATATATAAATATATATAATATATATTATTATATATTTTTATATATATTATTTATATATCCTATATATATATATATATATATATATATATATAAATAGGAGCTCCTGAAGTTTTGCTCCTATTTTCTTCTCACAGGAGCAAAACTTCAGGAGCACAGCAGAGGCACAGGATGTACACCAGCCATCTCTAACATGGCCCAGTCTCTGGGGATGTGCTGTTACACAGAGTTCCAGAGCCAGTTTACATGTGATTAAATAGCAAAGGGGCTCCAGGAGGCAGGGACAGGCTGCTTTAGGAAATGATAAGCACCAGCAATTGCCTTTTACAATCATCTTCTCATCATTGCTACCTGCCTGCAAGCAATCTCACACTCCAGAGAGGCTTTTTATTTCCACTTCATGGCACACAAGCCTGAGAGGAGATGTGGGTTCAAACTTTCTCAGAGGAAGGGACACTGACAGCCTGCATCCTCTGCAAATGCAGATAAACCACTGAGGAAAGGCAAGGTCTGCACAGACTTATCAGCCAAAAATAATAAAAAACTGAGGACTTTCAAGGGACCCTGGGTTTAAAGAAATGTTGAGCTGGTCTCTACTTCAGCATCTATTGCAATTTCTCAGCAGAAACACTCGGTCTCAGGGGTTAAGGGAAGATTTTGCAAACACTGCCCAAATCTATCTTTGGACTTGAACAAACAAACATTTGGAAACCAACCAAATTCAACATCAGCACTGCATTTTATCTGTACCTACTCTGTTGATATTCACACTATCACTCCATGAAAACTTGAGCCTACTTAGAACCATCCCACTAAGGGCACCTGTTTGGCAGCCTACCCAAAACATCCTTTTAGAATGAAAACACTAAAATTTCCTGAAATGAAGACAGGCTGCACTGTTTCATAAGAACAGACTATAACAAGATGGTACAGTGTCAGCACTGCCACTGCTTGTCTGGGGGCTGCAAGAGCCCAGGTGTGCCACTAAGCAGGCAGGATTTGTTACTCCCATTTCCAGACTCACTCTTGATGTGGTGCTCCTGTCTTCGTCAGCAGGGTCAGGACAAAAAACATGAAGATGACAAAAACTGCAAGACCAACCCAAAATCCAATCACAATGGAATCTGGTGAAAGAAAAAGAAAAAAAGGAAACAAGATGATCAATATTTTACTGGCACTTGCAAAAAGCTGCCTTCTACAGGCAGCATGAGTGCAAATGCAAGACAATTTGCAGCTTATTTCTGGGTGACAAAGGGATAATCAAATTTATCTTTATCTATTTTTAAACAGAAAGCTGCCATTGAAAATCTCATTTCAGTACTAAATTTTACTGATATCTAGACAAATCAGACAGTAGATAACAGAGGGAAGACAATTCTCTTGGTAAGTAAAATAATAGGAGCTCCTTGTGTGATACCAGGCCCATTTCCAAGCATTGCTTTGGAATTTCAGTGCTAGAACTAGGAAGAGAGGATTATTTGATTTTCCTCAAAATCCTCTGTCTCTGTAGAGCTGAACTCCTGCTATTTTAAGTTATTTCTGCCCCAGACCATTAAGTTTCTGGATTTAGATAGATTTCTTTGACAAAATATGTTTAGGAAGACCTTTTAGTGGCAAAACAGAGGTTCTGCAAGAAACAGAACCACAGATAAAACTATTTGCTACTTCAATAAATATCAATAACCAACAGATACCAGATGTTTTTGAAAAAATTTCAATTTGGGTGTCCAACTTAAGTACAGAAAACTGAAACACAGTGTCAAAGGAGCACAACAGATTTAGACAAAAAAGTCAAACCAGCAGTTAATCAATAGCAAAACCAGTGCAATAGCCAAATATAGCAGCCATTGGGAAGAGCATGGCCTTTTGCCTGGGTGCTTAAACTCCATCTACTCTTCTCATTTATAGCAAATGGACCGTAGGCAATTTGCCAGCACTACCAAAAACAAATCTATGTCCACTTACAACTTCAAGGTAGGTCCACAGCTGCTCCAAGCTGTTCAGAGTTTCCAGGAATTTGATTTAGAGAGGTTCAAGTGGAACAAAGATATTTCCAGACACAATCAACTGATTAGCATGGACCAAAGTTACAGAGCACCAACACTCAGTATTACCTGGCCAGGACCCATCAGCACTGTTTTCTTTTCACCTGTCATTTCAGTTAGTTATTCTTTACTTATGCAAGTATTCAAAACTTCCACTGTAGACGTTCAAAAACAGTAACACACAAGCATTCAGGAGGGAAGGCTTGGTCAGGAATCCTTTCTACCCTTACCTCTCATGACACCACCACTACCAAGCCTCAGAGATCCTCACTGGCTGTAATGTCTCACCCAGTGCAGCAGGCACAGCACGAAACTGTTGAATTTCCTACAGGACTAATTAAAGACACTGAAAAAACAAGGAGTCAGCTTATCCTACCTGGTGCTTGGCCCCAGCTGTTAATCATGCTCCCACTGTGAAATATCTTCCATGCTAAGAGGCAGATGTGGAAACTGGAAATCAACTCAAACCATTCTCTCTTTTTTTCTGCAAAGTCAGAATGCCTGCTGCAACTTGAGATTTTCTCCCTGAGAAAATACTTTATCACAATGAAGTCTCTCCTTAATCCCTTTCTTAGGTAGCTAAGGAGGCTAAGTTTCAAGTCTCCCACTGCAATATTTATTCCACCTCTCCTATGCCATATCTTCCCCCCTCAATACCTGTGTAAAATAACTGGAATGTGGTTTGAGTATAGATCTCTCTGATGGAGGGGGAGGAGATTTTAATACCCCTTTCTGCTTAAAGCATTCTGCCATGAGCTTTTTTCTGTAATTCCATATATTATGTGCACTAAATTACTTTCAGAATCATTCTGTAAGCACAGCCTGTATTCACTGGTTAAAGATGTACCTTACCTTCCTAATACAAAATAGCTGATCCTATTGGACTTGGTAGTACCTGAAGATTTAATCTAAAAATAAGTACTGCCTTAAAAAAAAAAAAACATTTAAGAATTTATAGCTACAAGTACCTTCCAGTTAGTCAGACATACTTGGATGGTATGCAGCTGCATTAATAACCAGAATGGAAAATGCAATCACGATGATTAAAAAAGTATGCACATAGATTATATCGATCAAGCTGAAAAACTTAACTAAAAGGAAAAAAAAAAAGAAAAAAAAGAAAAAGAAAAATCAAGGCTCCAGTAAACTACTGCTCCCCACAAAAATCACACCTGCTATTGTGTGCTGAATAACAAGACTGATTTTGGTTGGTTTGGTGCCCCTGCTCCCAACAGAATTCTTAAGTTTACTGAGCCTAATGCTACACCTTCCTTGCTTTATTGTGCCTCCTGACACACCTCCAGCCCTCTGCTGTATAAATTACATTGTTTGAATTCATTTAAAATTCAAGCAGGTATCCTGAGTTCTCTTCAATATTTGATTTAGGTCTCACTCACTTCAGTGGAAATTATTCAAACCTACTAAATTCTAAACACTTACTCAAGATTAACAGGACATAACCCAACTTTTGTTCAACAAGTATGGTACAAAGGACACTTATGCTGCCCAAAGTTACAAGTAGATATTCATAGGATACTTTTACATTATCAAGTTGCAGTTTTGACTTTCCTTTTCTTCATAATACAGATTCATAACATCTTGGCAGCAGTTCCAATCCTCTGATCATTGCTACCTATTTTTCCTCTCACTAGCATAACTAACATACTGAGGCTCCTCATTTTCAAAGGCACAAAATGTGATTCTGTTCTTATCTCTGCCAGTCACAAGTATCTCCTGGCTATCTTTGTCTATTTACTTTCTAAAGCTTCAATGTATAAGATATCTGGTTCCTCCTTTTCTAGATTTTTTTATTTCTAGTTCCTGCCTTTGTTCTCATCTTATCACAGGAGTTCCATACTGTTATCTCCTTATCACAAAAGTTTCATACCTTCTAGGTGTTTCTCATGGGCAGCTCCTCAGAGCACTGGCTTGATTCTTCACAAAGCAGCCAGCTAACTCCAGTTCCCTCTTTTACAGCGCTCTTCTTCTCATTGGTTACAGCTGTGGCCTGTTAAAGTCAGGCCTGTTCCTAATCTTTGATAATTGGTCCAGCTGCAACTCCTTAGGGGTAAGATTACTTTCTACACTATCTTTATTTTCTTATATTCTATCCCACTACATGCCTTCACTTCTTTTCCAACAGAACAACAGAACATACTTTTTGCCTTTTTTTTTCCTTTTGCAGTCATATATTTGAAACATCACTGTGGCATCTTTTTTTTTTTTTTTGTGTGTGTGTAGAAGATTATTTTGCCAATCCTTTTTCTCACGGGTCACTTTGAATACATTTTTCTCTGCTTTCAGAAAACAGGCTTCTGAATTTCTTTATATTTAAATCAAATCACCTATCCTGGAGTCCATTCCCTGTTGAGCTTTCCAACATAAGTTACAAGCATTCATTGACACCTTTTCTTTGTAAGTATTCAAGGTCTCCCTCTCATACAACCCTTGTTTAATCTCCTGTCCTTCTCCCCAGTTTAGGATTTCAGAGAAGTTCATGTCTGATCACATTGCCTCCACATTTCACAACAATCTCAGCTCAGCTGGCAGCAGCTGGAACAAGAACACACCATGTCAAGAAGTATCATCCCATACACAGCACAGACTATTCCTTTAGTAGATTAAACTCTGCCCTCTGGAGAATGCATGCAACAACAGTGAAGGAAACAGAGCCAACTCCAATCTATCAGTTAAAGCAAACAAAGAAACAAACAAAAACTAAAGAAAATCCACCCTAACTAGAAGGGACTGCCTAGATCACCAATTCAAGTACTACTAATGACATCTTTCATCAAGCTCCACCTGAAAAGCAGTTGTTACTTCTGTCCCATTCTCTAAGACTTGTTCAGGACCTCCTGCTCTATGAACAGTAGACAGGGAAGCTCAGCTGCCATGCTCAGCATGGCAATAACTTTGGTGGCAATTCAAGACCTGACTTGCAGCTGTGCCTTCTGCAATCCAGAGGCAGATGTCATTTATACCTTTTTGTCCCATCATGCTGTTTGAGACACTGAGCTGAAAAGAAGATGTGTACATAACATTTCAGCTGATCTTTGCAATCAGGTTTAACCTCTGATTAAGTGGAAGAATGGAAAATAAATTAAAAACATAATGAAAGCTAGCCCACATTTTTCAATTACCTATCACTTGTAAAAATACAGACAGTAATCAGCAGACTTTTTTGAGGGAAAAAAAATAGATTCTACTCTCTTGTTTTTTCAGAAGTGTTAGTAATTTCAACAAGTTTCTTGTGTCCCTTGCAGAGCCTCTCCAAGACCCTGTGACTGTGTAGAGGGAAGGGAGCTCAGCCTTTCTGGGCTGCTGTTTGCCAGTGCAGGCTCTACTTTTTCCCAATCTGAATGCTCATTGGGACAAATGAGACAAAGTATGAAATCCATCCTGGACCAGTGCTCCAGCACTGGATGGGAACCCTTCCCCCCCAGAACTTTGAAGTCTGGGAATCAAATCCTTTCAGGGTGTATCTACCTCAGAAAGAAAGAAACAGGATGGGGATTTTTTCTCTTCTGCAAAGTGCTTACAAGACCCATCAGGTAATTGAGTCGGTTTCTCTTACATTTTTCTCCCCTCTTTTATTGTTTGTCCCTCACAATCATCTCCTCTAAAAGGGAAGATCATCAAATCCATTGTCTACTTTTTAGAAAAATGTTGGTCCATCTGTACTAGCTTGTCCTAGTTCAACCTTCTCCAAGTTCCAATCCACAGTTCTCATCTTTCTGGTACCTATCCTCAATTTTTTGCTTCTACTGAAAACAACTCCAGGATTAACAGAAGTGAATTTAGCACACTCCTCCTATGAAGAAAGTACCAATGGCAAGTTTGTTCATAAGGAAAAAATTCTTCTCTTATTTTCAAGCTTTTAAAAACCAAAAATTTATTTTCTTTTAGGAAACCAAACACAGGTAATACAGTAAGGCTCCCCACCACTGCCTTTTTACCATTAACAGAAACAAATACAAACAAATAGAACCAAAACAAAGCAACACTGATCTTAACAAGTAGTCACCAGAAGCAGCAGTGTACCTGTATTTGTTGTTGTTAACTTTTCCTGGCAGTGAGATATTCCTCAGTATTGACAAATTCCTACCACAGCCAATAAATCCATGGTTCTCTCATGCACAAGTCAACAAAAGGATACAGAATAATAAACAATAACGATGATCTAATAAATAGAGGGATACTGCTAATTGCAGAGAATCCTAGGAATTAGGAGAGAAATGGTTTTGTACAATATTCAGTCACAAGTGAAGAACAGGAACACAGGAAGCTGAGCTTCATGAAGTGTGTCTCCACTGAACTTACACTTATGAGCCTTCAGGCCTTCAAATGACACTGGTCCATACTCATAGTACTCGTAGTCCCAGGTGTAATCAGAGTTAGACAAGGCTTGCTGGGAGGTCCTGTTAGAGATCAGCCTCAGGGCAGACATCTTGCACCTCAGCAAATACAGACCTGTGGATATGAAATGTGTTAATGGAGACTACAACACCTAGCACAGCTTTTGGGGTTCTGTTCTTTCTCATCTATTGGGTCACTTCCCCACCCCTGCTCCCAAGAGCAGCCACTGCCTCTTCAGACAAGGCTATCCCATCCCCTCCCATTCCTTCCCCTAATTGCACACACAGACTCTGGGGCCCAGGGAAAGGCAACCAAGATGTTTAGGGAGCTGAAGCACAAAGGGTTTGTTCAGCCTGGAGAAGAGACAGCTGCAGGGAGACCTCAGTGCTGTTTTCACTTAGAGGGTGCAGAGATGCTGCTGCCAGGCTCTTCTCAGAGGTGCACAGTAAGAGGACAAAAAGGAATGGACAAAAATTGGGCAATGAGAAATTCATATTAGATAAAAGGAAAAGCTTACCTGATCTAGTCAAACATGCTTGGAGTAGGAGGTTGGACCAGATGACCACCAGGGGTCCCTTCCAACCTAAATTTCTCTATGCTGATAAAGGGGCTCAATATGCCACTACAGAAGGAAAAGAAAACAGGAGTGATTTCCCTCCCAGATTAGCAAAAAGCTGCAAAGCAATACTGAGCATCATGAAATTATCTTGATAGATATTTCTGTCATTACCACCATTCTGTACTGGAGCCTTGCATTTTGCAGAGTAATTTTTTTCAGAATATGAGACAGTTTTATGCGCACCAAAAGAAAGCACATCTCTGCACAAAACATGTGCTGCAGTAGCTGGAGTCAGGAAACCCAAATTAAAACATATTTCAAAATACTTTTTGTGAGAGCAAGCTGAGCTTTGGGTAATTCTGGATTCAATTAAAACCCAGCAGGATTGACTAATGCTTCATGTGCTAGGAGAGCCATCGTAAAGAACAAAAAATCAGGCACAAAATAAGAAACACTTTCACTCAGGTACTATGAACAGCATTTCAAATTTGTAAAATAGTTCTTTCTGCAGCTGTTTTACCATGACCAAACGCTGGCAGTAATGCCTCAAAGCAATTTTAAATAAGTAGCATGCGTGAAAAAGTAAACTTCACACTTAAATACAATGTTCAGAACTTTAAACACATGCCAAAAACCTTGACTGGCAAGTTATAAATCTTTTAAAACAATAAATGGATCTATTTTTCAACCCAAACCAATTGAGTTTTCAGAATGAGCAACCTGACAGCAGGAAAGGTGAATGGGTGGGCTGGGGAGACAAGTGACCAACTCCATTCTTGGATCAGGATAAGAAGCTTCACCACATTATCCTCACCCTCCCCTTAGCTATTTAGAAAGCCTCCAGCATTAATAAATAGCCTGAAGCACAGAGGAGAAGGAAAAAAACCATGGACATCATTGACAGTGCAGTACATGGCTGAGGATGTTTTCCATCTTGTACTTCCAACCCTTTCAAAATGGACAGAGAGGAAGAGGTAAGTCTAACTAAAAGTGCCTGTGTTGGCAGTAAAGTTCCTCCTTGGCTTTCCCATTTCTTCAAACTAAAGAGAGAATGCCTGATTAAGCTTTAGACAGAAGCTTTCTTATTTTAATCAACTAAAGCAACTGCTGCCTCTAGGAGAAGGAAGTGGCACAGAGAAGACCCTAGGATCCCTGTCCTGGTTTGTTCCCATCTCAGCTCTGTCAATTGTTTATTACAAGACTCTGTGTTTTGTTTTCAGGGTTCCCACCATCTTTTAGCCCCTTCTCCTCAATATTTTGTTGATGACATGTCTCTTGAAAACATTGATTAGTCCTATTTAAAGGCTGGTTTTCTTTTTTATAACTTTCCAATGAAGCATTTAATTTCAATATTCCTCACATGGCATCAATAATGGCCATTGTCTCCTCCCTCCTTTTAGTATTGCAAAAAGAGCTGAAATCCACTTGTAGAAAACTTCAGAATAGAGTATGGGAACAATCTGAATAATGTTGTTTCTTCCACTTTAAGTGTTTCTTCCCACCTCAAAGCAGATGGGATTCACTGGGCCACAGGCAGAGCTCTCTCCCACTCTAGTCTCTAGTGTCCATTTATGATTTATGGGGAGGATAGCCACTTCCAGGACACAAAGAATCTGTGTCCTAATAGGTTAGGATTAGAAGCTCCAGCCTTTCACCACTGACTGCATGCATGTGGAGACTTGCTTTCACTGTAGAAAAGCCACTGTCAGAGGGAGAGGTGCTAACAAAAACCTGAGTCACCAGCTCTCTGGCTAATCTGTGCTTTGAAGGACATATAAATATGCTTCTAAATCAACCAGCAGAGCTAAGCATAAGCACTGCTCCAAACCAACTTTCAGCCCACTTGTAAGCTTTGTCTGTCTGAATACCTCCAAAAACTCAGCCTCAACCATGTGAAAAGTTTTTATTCTACTTAAAAAGCCAGTCTGGCATGGTGGTACAAGGACCAGCACAGTGGAAGAGGTTGCTATTTAGACCCTGTATCTCCTGGGCAAGGCAGGCTGAGCTGGCAGAGTAGCAGCCTGTCAGGTGCATCTGCCTGGCTGCAGCAGGTCATGCAGGGAGTCAGGTAAGAGGTAGGAGCTTCTAAGAAGGAATTCCTCCAGGAGATGCTCTCAAACACTCTTCTGTCAGATACAGAGAGCCATGATTCATCCCACAGCTCTGGAGCTTCACAGTCACCTCCTCTAACTGACTTGGCTGAGGGTTTTTCTGGAAGGTACAGGAGTCTTCTGAGGCAAACATGAAAGCCCCTCTATTGATTTTGATGTGTATGGATACAGCCAGGCTTTCCTCATTCCAGCTCTCTTCTTTCAGGAGCAAGTCAGGAACAAAAAGCTTCACTTTGATTATTTGAGAAACCCCAAGGCAGGGCTTGTGTTCAGTGCTGCCAAGCAGAAATTTAGGCAGGTCTGCATCCTAAAAAGGGCAAGTGCTCAGGGCTTTCTTCTGAAGCATTGGGCTGCTCTCTGCAGATAAAAGTAACCGGATGTTCCCCATGGAGACCCAACTGCAACTCTTGGAGTTGAATTATGCCTTCATGAGAACTTGTTTATCATGTGTATGAAAGTCTGTAAGGTCTCAGCTGGCCTGACAGCTGCCAGTGGCACCTGGGCAAGCAAGTCTGTCTGTCTGTGTTTGCATAAATCCCGTGCCCTTGAACAGCAGCAGCAGGATATCAAACTCCGTGCAGCTGGACTGTTTTCTCCAATCTGAACGTCACTGATACATTGCATGAGGCTCTCAGCCATTCACCTTTCAAAATGAAAGCAAAACTGAACACACACCACATTTGCAACACAACTTCATGGCTTCCACCACTGAGACCACAAAGGCATATCTGGTTTTGTGTATGTCTGAAACTGTCCCTGTAACCAGCAGCAACTCCCTCCGAAGCTGACCTGCATGCACAGAAAGAAAACCATGTGGATTGTTAATGTACTCTTTGCTTCTGGAGCAAGAGAAACTACCAGTATGGTTGACACACAGAGCTTGGTGAATTTTCAGTCACAAACTACATCTATTTTCCACATACTTCTGCTCTGCTTAGTGCCACAGATTCTAAGAACTCAGTGGATTTCAAAAGAACAAATGAACAAACCATTGCCCGCTTGCAGACCCTGAAGATCCCAAGGCCCAGACAGGGGGAAAATGAAGGAACATTTCAAACTGTGGGAAGTCCCAGGCTGAGAAAGCTTAGCACTACACTCTGGTGCATCAGCTAGGCAGTACAGTTAACCCAAAAGTTGTAGGCTATGAGAAATTAACAACTCAGGCTGTTCCCATATCTTTGTTCTCATACCAGCACCAGTATTGTGCATGAGGGAAAAGGGAGTCAGCCACCCCCACATTCCTTTTTACTCCATCCCAAAGACTAGGAGGTGAAGTCACAGAAAAAAAAAACAAAGGAGAAAACCAACCACAAACTTATTTACACTGCTGCACTGCCTCAGCTGAAAAGCAATCCAGACCCCATCTTTCTACAACCCTAGCACGTGGCTTTGAACAAGCTGTGCCGCTCCCAAGCACAGACAGGAAAGTCTGCAGGAAATACTCACCTAAGGGTCCTTGCTTCTTGCTAATTCTCAATAGCCTAGGTGGGCAGGGTTTGAGTTCAAATCTGTGATCTTTTCAGGGGAATATGCAATTCCACCTGCAATAAAAGAGAAGAAAGCAAGCGATAAAAATGAGTTAAATTTAGGGGGGAAAAAAAAAGAAGAAAGATATCTGAAAACTGACTTTACAATTAAAAATCAATCATGAATGCCAACTCTGATACATAGGTCTTTTCTTGGAGAAAAAAGAAAGAACAATGTTAACCATGGTTATGTTTGTTACTGATGTTCACAAACAGCAATGTCTGAACTGTTGCACTAAAGTAACAAGAATAATATTGGATTCACCACAAAAGGAGTTTATAACAGTGGAAAGGAAAAAAGCTGGTTTAGTCACTGCTTAAACTGTGAACTAAGGATGAGGGGTTACAGTTACAGACATCTTTGCCTCACACCACCATATTACACATCATATAAAATGCATTTTATTATCCTATAACTGTGCAATGTAAACTCCAACAACAAACTTCTCTTATGCACTCCACACCATTATATACAATTTGCTTGCTCACTGTATAGTTGCTGTTTGTACCTACTTAAAAAGTGATGACATTATGACTTCAAAGTGAAATTTAATAAAGGTTAAAGAGGTTTGCCAACTATTTTCCTATAGACAGTAACAATATAAGCAAATTATAATAATAAGTCCAACTCAGTAGGTGCCACCTGGAAGTTAAGGCAGAAATTAATATGAAATGATACCATACTATGAGTTCACTGACAACTGTGTGGTTCTAAAAATGAATAAAGCAAATACTACACAAGCCCACTCATTAGCCTTGTCTGAGAAGGCAGATGAATTATACCTAACATGGTATCACAGAACAACTGCATTTCTCTTTCTCTTAAAATTTTCAGGCCTGCACTGACAGTAAAGGGACATGGAACTGCTAGTAGGGAGCTGCTGGGACTTGTTCCCAAAACACACACTGAAGCTTAGCTTAACTCCAGTACCAAAAGCTTTAGATACTGCAGCCAGTCTTAAGAGACAGCATTTTCTAAAAGTATTAAAGATTAGCCATAATTCCATTCATTTCCTGCATCTAGGGCAGGATTACACCAACAGTACTGAGCCTATTTTCCTCTCCCCACGAAAAGCCAACCTCCTCTTAGATGTGCAGGTATGGCAGCCTCAAACCCAAGTTCCCTCAAGACCAACCAGACCAGAAGAAGCCCTACCAGTAAGCATTAAAGTACAGACCCCTTTTCAGTCCTATAAAGTTATAAATGCTGACATCAATAGTATATATACATATATTCAACACTTCCCAAGAGAAAGGCTGCCTTTCCCTTAGCTATTTATAATAATGCCTATTTTAACCTTTCTCACTGCCATTTTTTAACCTCTCAGGCTGATTTGTTGAAAACCCTGAAGTGAAAGAGCCCTGGCATATCTACTAATGAGGTAAGATGAAACTGTAAAGCAAGTTTTAATAAATGTTTATTTTTATTATCTTTATTCTCACAGAAAGCTCTGTGCTGAGATGGGGTTGAATTCCTGAATTCCTTCTAGTTCTGAATTCCTTTCTAGTCTGAAGTCTGTCAATCCAATACCTTATTCTGAGCAGAGAGAAAGGAAAGCTCTCTCCATCTGCTCTTACTGATCAGCACACTGCAGGTCAATTGGAATGGCTCCATCAGAATATGACCTACCTGTAAGAGTTGCTTTTAAAATACCTCCTATTTCTGGTACCATGTAAGAACCTATTAAAAAAAAAACCAAAAACAAAAAGTCTCACAGTCTCTACAGAAGGGACAGAACAAACACTGCTATTTTTTAATAACTAAAAGATGGTATTCCATTTAAAAGCAAAAAAAAAAAAAACTCACTGAGAAATTATTTCAATGCAGAGGGTTACCAAACTAGGCTGACTCAAATTGCCCAGTCTGCAAGCCATGAAGAAACCCTGGAAGCACAGTGTTCTGTGTAGCCAGAAAACCCAACGAGCCCAAGAACAGGGGCACCCAGGTGTGCTTCAACAACCCCACCTACACCAACCATTAGTGACAGGGGCAGACTGAAGGCAGGAACTACCCTTGTGTGATTCCTGGGAAACTCAGCAGCCATTAACAGCTAAAACTGCCTGGGCTCCCTCGGTGTCAGAGACCCAGGGATGCCTGGGGATGCCCCCAGGGCTGCTGCTGCTGCAGCACAGGCAGCCCAACCAGCCTGCAGTGTGCCAGGCTTGGGATCAATGCTGCTGCACAGCCCAGACAATGGGTGAGGGCCATCAGGCCTCATTTCATAGCTCTGTTTTGGCTTTGCATCAGTGAAAAAGTCACCACAGGGGCTGACAAGCAGAGTGGAAGCCAATGACAGTTTCCTCTCTCCCATTACAAAATAATTCCCTAATCTTCACACAGCACTCATCTGGTCTGAAGCACAGGACACAATACTCTTCCCATAGCACTTCTTCACTTCTCAAAGTTTTTCCTGCAAATATAGTTCTGTTCCCAGCCTCTGCTGAAGCCAGAGCAAGATAAACCAGGTGGCAGGGATGAAAAAAGCCCAAACAACACAGGTATGATAGACCATTTATCAGAGCTACTCCCACACTCGGGTACGTCACAGCTGGGGTTTGACACTGCTGTGGTGGAAAAATCTTCAGCTTGTTCTTTCATCCACACAGGGCCTGGAAGCTATAATCTCTCAGATGCAAAATAACACATGAGCTTTGTAATTTGAATCATATATTATATTTCATCAAGAAGTACTAAAACAAAATTATAGAGATTTTCTTTAAAATGTCCACACCTACATGACAAATATTTTCTTAACTTTTGTAGTTATCCTACAACATAGTGCAGAAATATTTTCTTAATTGGTTCAGTGACAATTTTAAGCACTCGCTGAAATGGAGCTGTTCATCCAAAGTCAAACAGGTCTGGGATTGTTTCAAACAAGAATTGGGGGATTTTTCCCCCCTGTCTTTAAGTCTTCTCTCCAGCACTGCTGAAGAAGCAAGCAATTTATTGTGGTGCCTCAAATACAAATTTCTCCTCAGGTAAATCAGACAGCAGTACACAACTCACAGGCACACGTCTGAATTTTCCCATTCTTATCCCTGCCATGTCTCTGTGTTATAAATAAGTAACTAGATGCCAAGAAAACATCACTGAACCAATACAACCACAACCCACTGCAGTGAGTACACAGAATAAAGCCTTCATTTTTTTTGTCATAAGATTTGTGGTATAATTTTGCCAGTAAGTGCTGTTGTTATAGGTACAAAGACTTTAAATTTGATTTAAACTCTTGAACAAGCTGCAAGTGTATCATCTGTGTTTCACTCAAAACCTTTTCCATGACAAAGTGTACATGGGAGACCAGGGAAAAAGTAGGTAGTAAATTATTTTGTCCAGTTATTAATATTCTGGGGTTTTTTTCCTTAAAAAAAAATCTTGCAATTCTTGATTGATTTTATATATACTTGGTTGTGATTGTGACTCCCAGAATGTCTCATTATTTTGACAAGAATGGAGCCAGGCTGTCCTTAGTCAATGGAGACCTGCCATTCCCCTGGCATTCTTCCAGGTATTTACTCCTGTGGACAAAATTATCTTGACTCTCTGCTTAAGAACCTGAATAGAAAGCCACAAATGGACAAGAACAACAACCAGAATTGGGGACTATTACCTTATTATCTCTGAGTAGAAACCAAAATATCTGTTTGTTTCCACAGCGGTTACGTAAATCTGCGCCCCTGTGTGCACAGCCTCTGGCAAAGTTCTGATGAGAGGAACAGACCAAAACAGGGAGACACTCCAAGACAGAGCAGTGGGCTGGGAAACACACCTGGAAATAGAAGTGCCTCAGTGCTCCCTCCAAGAGCCCAACCAGCCCTGCTGGGGCAGTGTGAGGCAGCATTGCCACTGCTGTCCCATCTCTCTACGAGCTACGCCTGTCACAGAAGTGCCAAACTTGTGGTGTGTCTACACTTCCAGTCACTGTCCAGCTTTATGAGCCAAACAAGGTTGTATGGCAGGATGAAAAGGCAAATGTCAGGGAACAGGGACTGCTCAGAGAGAAGTTTTGAGAGCTTGTCACTGAGGTGATTGTTCCCAGCAAAGAAAGAATGGCAGACAGGTCAAGAGAGAGCCCTGAACTTACACACCAGTCACTGTCAACAGAGGCTGAGGCCAGAGGAAGAAAGCACTGAGATGACAACTGTTAGATTGTTAAAGGAAAAGGATGGGAGGGAGGGGGCAGGGGGAAAGTATGAGGACCAACAGACTAGGGAAGAACACACAGAGAAAGGGAAGAAGGCAAGACAGAGCAGGAGAAATAATCTAAGGCTGTATTGAGGAGAGATGTTCATCCCTTCAGTCTGAAAGCACAAAGGAAGAGAGATGTTACCTGGAGGGGGAAAAAAAAGGCAAAAAAACCCACAATAAACACACAACAAACTTATCTTGGAGGTTTCTTTCCCCAGCCATATTTTTTCAAACGTTTTCGGTTCAACTGTTTAATTCATTCAAATGCTCAGCAGTCTGTGGGCTTTTCAGCTGTTCTGCTTTTCAATACAGAAGGAATCACTCTGTTAGAAATTCAGAAAGGAGACACAAGCTTTTCTACAGCTGACGTTCTCCACATCACCCAAATGAACAATGCCACCTCCTGCATCTTATTATTATTACTATTTAAAATGAAAGAAAAAATTGGCAGAGCGCTTCAGACCTTAAGGCTTGCAGGAGCCGCCTGGTGCCGGCTCGGAACAGCCTCGGGCACCTGTTACCCGCGGGCTGAACTCCAGGCGCTCGGGGCTTCCTGCGCCGCCCAGCCCGGCCGGGAGCACCCACCCCCGGGAAGGGACGGGCAGGGACACGGCGGGGCAGGGACACACACGGCGGGGCAGGGACACACGGCGGGGCAGGGACACACACGGCGGGGCAGGGACACACGGCGGGGCAGGGACACACGGCGGGGCAGGGACACACACGGCGGGGCAGGGACACACGGCGGGGCAGGGACACGGCGGGGCAGGGATACACGGCAGGGCAGGGACACGGCGGGGTAGGGACACACGGCGGGGCAGGGACACACGGCGGGGCAGGGACACACGGCGGGGCAGGGACGCACACGGCGGGGCAGGGACACACGGCGGGGCAGGACCGTGCCTGTCTCTGGCCGCTCGCTCACCCCCCGCCCGCAGCGCCGGCCCCTCACCGCGCTTACCCCGTCGGGCACGTCCGCCCGGCCAGATCCCGGAGCGCCGCTTCGTCCCGGCCGAAAGGCGCAGCCCTCCCGGAACGCCCTGGCCCCGGCGAGCCCAGCCGAGCCAGAGCTGCGGGCGGGATGGAGCGCGCAGGATGGAGCAGGGGAGGATGGATGGAGCGGACAGGACGGAACGGGCGGGATGGAGCGGGTGGGCAGGATGGAGCGGGCAGGACGGACCGGGCGGGATGGAGCAGTCAGGCTGGAGCGGGCCGGCAGGATGGAGCGGGCGGGATGGAGCAGGCAGGACGGAGCGGGCGGGATGGAGCAGGCAGGATGGAGCGGGCGGGATGGAGCAGGCAGGCTGGAGCGGGCGGGCAGGACGGAGCGGGCAGGATGGAGCGGGCGGTTTGGAGAGGGCGGGATGGAGCAGGCAGGCTGGAGCGGGCGGGCGGGATGGAGCGGGCGGTTTGAAGAGGGCGGGATGGAGCAGGCAGGCTGGAGCGGGCGGGCGGGATGGAGCGGGCGGGATGGAGCGGGCGGGATGGAGCGGGCGGGATGCCGCCGTGGGCTCGCTCCTGGCCGAGCCAATGAATCAGCAGCGGGCGCGCTGCCCCGGCCCGCGCGGGCGGCATGGATCGGCCTCGTGACGCTCCCGCTCCAATGGGCAGCGCGGGAGGGAGCGAGGGAGGGAGCGAGGGAGCGGCCCCGGGCGGCCGCAGGTGCGGGCACGGAGCGCGGCTGGCGGCGGAGCCGAGGCGGCCGCGGCCGTCGAGGGGCGGGAGCGGCGAGCTCCAGGCGGAGCAGCGGCTGGGAGCGACACCTGCGTGTCGCTGGCCGGGCCGGAGCTCGCACATCCGAGGGGAAACATCGATTTTGGAGGAGTCGGGATGGCGTCCCCTTCCCCCGTTCCCACCTGGGGGCTGAGCGGCCAGCGCGCTTGCACATGGGGAGTCTGTGAGCGGGAGCTGGGGGGGAGCAGTGAGGGTTGTTTAAGGTGCTGTCTCAGCCGCCAGGAGGTGGAGGGCAGTGCCCTAAATCTTCAGGGATCTGATTCAGGTCTCTGGAACCATAGCACAGGATGGATCCTGTTGGAAGTGAGTCACGCGGTCCAGTCTCTGTTAAAGCTCGGTCATCCCAGAGCACGTTGCACAGGATTGCATCCAGATGGTTCTTGAATATCTCCAGTGAGGGAGACTCCACCACTTCTCTGGGCAATCTGTTCCGGTGCATGGTCACCAGCACAGTAAAGTTCCTCCTCATGTTCAAGCGGAACTTCCTCTGCATCAGTTTCTGCCTGTTGAAGAGCCTGGCTCCATCCTCTTGACATCCCCCTGTAGATGCTTATACACACTGATGAGGTAAACCAATCATCCGAATTTCCAAACCTATGAATTGTTGCTTCTTCAAAGAGACCTTTTGGAATATAATGTCTGTAGCTTGCTCTGACAGACTTGCTGGGGGTTGGTAGGACATCTGGAGATCATCTAGGCCTGCTAAGTCATCTTATAAGTCATAGAGTGTTTTGCTCAGGACATGTGTTGGGTCTTCAGTAGCTCCAAAGATGGAGACTCCACAATCTGTCTGAGAAACCCTGATCACCCTCAGTGGAAAAAAAAACCTCATGTTTAATGGAAGTGTCTATAATTCCAATTCATGTCCATTTTTTCTTGTCCTGGCACTGGACACCACTGAGAACAATCCCATTCCATCTGCTTTGCTCCCACCATAGGTCTTCATCCACATCAGTAAGTGCTCCCTGAGCCTTCTCTAAGCTAAGGGATCACAGATCCCCTAGTCAATGCTCACACACCCAGGCTCTTCATCATCTTCATGGCTTTTAATCATCTTCATGGAAACCAAGTGTTGTAAGGAATCACATGGCTTTATTTTTCAGTCCAGTGCTAGGAAACAAGTCTGCAATATCACCAATCCAACAAAGCAGCCAGCCCCGTGCAATACCCACCCTTTAATGGTATGGTGGATCTTTGCCAGTGCTCTGAAACTTGTTAGCACTGTCTTCATCTGTTCTTTATAGGCAGGACCTGGGTCTTGCACAGTACTGTCCCTCTCCAGCAGGGATCATAAAAGCTACCAATACTGTCATCTTCATCTCAAAAACACAGAACTGATGCTTATGCTAATGATTGTTATCAGAAATGTGAATAAGCACAATGGCAAGTCAGGAACGTCCCATCTCCTGCTATTTGCACTGCTGTTGAAAATGACTCAGGCTTTTGCTCATTTTTCTGAATCTTAAAAAATAATTGGCATTCAAATTCTCTCTAAAAAGAAGAAGCCTCAGGTAGCCAATTCTCCACCTCCAACACATCTCTGCTCTGTCCTGTAAGAAAATATTTTAGAGCTTTTATACCAAATGCAAAGAAGCCAAACAAAACCAAACCACAGAATAATGAACAAGAATTGCAGCATTTTTCTAAACATTCTAAATTTTGTTTCTAACAGTTCTTATTAGTGAAAATGCAGAATTAATGACTGTTCAGTAATCGCAATGCAGAGGAGATTATAGCAGAAGAAACACAATATTCTTGCCTGATGAGATGTGGAACTGCAGGTGCACAACTGCAAGTGTAGATAAGGGCACTGCACAATGTTTTTTCCATTCCTCCTCTCATTTAGTTTTCTGACTCTTTATGCTCATCATTACTGTCTCTTCCTCTTAATAGGGACAGCAGTGGGAATTTTTAAAATGCAGAGGAATTCAGCTGAGGGAAGAGGAGAGGTAGCACAGAAATTCATATTGTGGCTGACCAGAATGAGGATGGAGCTTCATCTGCAGCAGCTGCAGCATCAGCCCCGGGTTTAGTGACACACAGCCAGAAACTGCATTTACAATTAGAGCACAAACTCTGCAGAAATTCATTCTACCAGTCCTTTTCACTTCCCAAATCTTTAGATTTGTGTGTAGTTAGCAGCTGTCTGAGGTTTAGCAGACACATAGAAAGCAAAGTAAACAACAACTCTCACTGCAGCTGATTTAGAACTGACAACAAAGAAAAAAAGCAACAAAACAACAACAGAACAACAGTCTTGAAAGGAACATTACTACAGAGTTAAAAGCTTTGAATTCCTTCTAGATCTGTGGTGGTTTAAACAGAAAGAAAGAGAGGAGCTTTCCTGCACCACTTACAACAATTATGACTATGTTATAAGAATAAAACTGTAGGGTTACATTTGCATGTTAATAAAAATGATATAAAGAAACAAGCTTCTGAATTTTTGTCATTTCTCTGTACTACACTCTCAAAAAAACTTTTCAAGGTTGCAGATCTACAAACCAGCTGTCCAACAGTGTTGTTGACAGGCAATTGTACTTACAAATTCAGGGTTCAAAGTTGCCAAGAATGGATTCTGATTTTCCTTCAAATTCTGTAGAGTTCCTCTGTTTGTCATGTTTTAAAAAAATAATATTTAACTGGAAAGCATATTTTATATACCTTTCAAGATGAAACTAAATTAGAAGCAAGACTAAAACATTTATGGATGCAGAGTGAAGTT